AGCACTAATCAGCAACAATATATCCCATACTCAGTTCTGGTTTGCGGTTCTAGGATGGAGAACTTGTGATCAGTCAAAAGGGAGCGGGGGCCCTGGTCATTCTTCCAGAGCCAAGAGGAGCACTAGCACTTTTAGCAACAGGAGAATAGAGAACCTAGTCACAGTCCCAGGGCCAAGAGAAGTACTAGCCAAGTGAGCAAGGGCCCTTCCTGGGTAACGACCAGAAAGAATACCATGATAGCAGTGATTAAACCTCAACTAGGATCACATCACCTTGGAAGCATCAAAAATTTGCAGAACCCCAGAACTAGCTCTGAAAACAACAGCACAAAAAACCCCTACCTTGGCACAACGCCTCCCTGCCCCCGGTTGAGCAAAGCCCAAGAAAGAGGCTGGGAAAATGAGCAAACAACAAAAAAGGAACTTGTAGGGGAAGACCAAGTTATAAACTTAGAAGATATCAATGTGAAAATACCGATAAGAAAAGTCTCAAAGAAAAATGCTAATTGGACCCAAGATCAGCTAGAATTACTGGAAGAGTTAAAGAAAGAGATGAGTGGTAGAGGAAAATTGGGAAAAGAAATGAGAGTGGTGCAAGAAAATTATGAAAAGAGATTAACAGCTTGGTAAAAGAGGCATGAAAAAATACTGAAGAAAATAACACCTTAAAAAATAGAATTGGCTTAATGGTAAAAACTTACATAAACTGATGCAAAGTGAAGTGAGCAGAACCAGGAAAATGTACACAGTAACAGCAATATTGTATGATGAAGAACTGTGAATGACTTAGCTATTCTCAGCAATACAACGATGTAAGACAATTTCAAAAGATTAATGACGAAGCATACCATCTGCCTCCATAGAATGAACTGATATTGTTTGAATACAGACTTAAGCATGCTATTTTTCACTTCCTTTCTTTCATTCTTTTTCTTTTATTCAAGTCTTCTTGTACAAAATGACTAATATGGAAATGTTATACATGACTGAACATATAATCTATATTTGATTGCTTACCGTCTCAGAGAGGGATAGAATTTGGAATTCAAAACTTTAAAAAAATGTTAAAAAATTGTTTTAATATGTAATGGGGGGGGGTGAGGGGCACTAGATAGAGCACTGGTTCCTGAAGTTAGGACGACCTGTGTTCAAATCTGGCCTTAGACACCTGACACTTACTAGTTGTGTGACCCTGGGCAAGTCATTTAACCCCATTGCCTTGCAAAAGCAAAAAACAAAATGTCACTGGGGAAAGAATAAGATATTATACATTAAAAAAATAAAAAGATATCCCCAGCACTAAAAAATAAAATAAAATAAAATGGAGGGGATAATGGGGGGAAATGGTGAGCAATGCTTGAACTTTACTCTCATCAGAATTGGTTCAAAAGAGGAAGAATATCTATCTACACACACACACACACACACACACACACACACACATATGACACAAACACACATAACTCAGTTGGGTATAAAAATCTATTTGTACAATAGGTAAATAGGAGGGGAAAGGCATAAGAGTTATTGGGCAGAGGGGAGAGATAGATGATAAAAGAGAGGGTGGATTAAGAGAGTCAGCGGTCAGAAGCAAAACACTTTTGAGGAAGGATAGAATAAAGAGAAAGAAGAAGAAAAAAAAGAAAATAGGATGGAGGTAAATACATAGTAATCATAACTATGAATGTAAATGGGAAAAGCTAACCCATAAAACAGAAGCAGATAGCAGAATGGATTAGAAACCAGAATTCAACAATATGTAGTGTACAAGAAACACACAGTTAAAATAAAGAGCTGCAGCAGAATCTATTATGCTTCAGATGAAGTAAAAAAGGCAGGGGTAGTACTCATTATCTCAGACAAAGCAAAAGCAAAAACAGACCTAATTAAAAGAGATAACTAGGGAAACTACATTTTGCTAAAAGGTGCCACAGAGAGTGAAGTAATACCAAAAAATTTTACAGCAAGTTTCTCTGTTAAAGACCTAATTTCTTAAATATATAGGGAACTGAATCAAATTTACAAAAATAAGAGCCATTCCCCAATTGATAAATGGTTAAGCAATATGAATGGGCAGTTTTCAGAAGAAGAAATCAAAGCTATCTATAGTCATCTGAAAAAATGCTCTAAATCACTATGATTAGAGAAAAGAAAATTAAAACAACTCTGGGATACTATCTCATACCTATCAGAAATTACAAATGCTTAGGAGATGAAGGAAAATAGGTACACATTAGTGAACTACTGGCAGAGTAGTGAACTGATGCAATCATTCTAGAGAAGTTATACCCAAAGGGTTATAAAGCCAGGCATACCCTTTGATTTAGTAATACCACTATTAGTTTTGTATCCCAAAGAGATCAAAGAAAAAAGGAAAAGGACCTACATGTACAAAAATATTTATAGCAATTCTTTTTGTGGTGGCAAAGAACTAGAAATTGAGGGGATGCTCATCAAGTGGGGAATGGCTAAACAAGTTGTAGCATATAATTGTGACAGAGTACTACTGTGCCATAAGAAATGATGAGGGTGGTGGTTTCATAAAAATTTGGAAGACCTATATGAACTGATGCAAAGTAAAGTGAGAAGAACTAGGAGATCATTGTGCACAAAAACAACAACGTTGTAATGATGATCAACTGTGAAAGACTTGGCTACTCTGATCAATACGATGATCCAAGATAATTCCAAAGGCTTCATGATGGAAAAATGCTATCCACATCCAGAGAGAGAACCGATAAACACTTAGCGCAAACTGAAGCATAATTTTCTATTTGTTTTTTTGTGATATGACTAATACAGAAATGTTTTGCATGATTTCATATGTATGTGTATATCAAATGTATATGGGATATATTATTTGCCTTCTCAGTGGGTGGGGTAAGGGTGAGAGAGAATCTCGAACTCAAAACTTAAAAAGAAAAGAATGTTAAAAATAAATTAATAATTTTTAAAAAAAAATAATGGAAAACTTAAAAAAAAAAATTCAACAGTTCAGACGTTACCTCACAGAATCTGTTCTTCCTAATGAACATATACTATGGTAAAAAAGATGAAGACAGAATAAATATTTGGGCAGCAGAAGTGGGGAAAAGAGATAATAAGAAAAACTAACAAGTACTTTCTTCACAACCTATCCAAGGTAGTGCAAGTGTCGCCCCTAGCTCACAGATCAGGAAATTTCAGCTCAAAGGTTTAGCAATTAGCTCTAAGTCAAAGAACTAGTAAATGATCAAGTCAGGACATGAAGCCAGATCCTGATTCCAAATCAGCGCTCCTTCTATTACACCACACTGCCATCTCTCAAGAGGTACAAGGGGACCAAAATTTCCTTTAATGCTTCAGGAAGTACATGTTGCTTCTAAGAGATAAAGATAACAGAAGGGATTTTTAATAGCAAGTATTTTCATATTGTTTGAAACAAATGCAGGTGTGAAAGAAGATGGCTGCCAAATAAAGAAAAAGAACTGGGTTTATTAACAAGTAGGTGAAGTTTTGGGGAAAAAAATAGAGCTAAAAAGCATTAGCTGATCTTTTAAATTTCAAATGGTGGCTTTTCCACCCTCCTTATTGAAAGTAAGATATTTTCCATAAAGAGCCGTCAGAATGGTGAACCACAAGAATCCTTTCCATGTTAAGATGCATTTTAAAACTGAAGCTGAGTTGGCTATGTGCTATTCAACAACTTTTCACAAAATAAGAAAATGGCAGACTTTTCAAGCCTGCAGAATCCTTGCATTTCAACTGGTATAATCAGTTTCACAAATAAGGAAACTGGGGCCTGGAGCAATTAAGTGACTTGCTCAGTCATGCAGCCAGGTAGTGGCAGAGATATGCATCAACCCTGGTCCTTCTAACTCCACATCTACTGCTCTTCAGTATGGAGCTGGGACCAGATCCAGGTTTCCTGACTTAGAGGCCAACATGCTTTCAAACACTTCACAACTCTCCTCCACTCACATAAAGACAAAGCTGAAAGATAATACAGAGTGAGGAAAACTATTCTTTAAAAACTGAAACAAATTGTTTTTTGTATTATTAAAGATAGAGGCATTGTTATATTAATGGATAACTGCAGGGCTAGACTTCGGTATCAGGAGGACCTTAGCTCAAGGCTTACCTCTAATACTTAACTAATTGTATGACCCTGGACAAATCATGTAATCTCTCAATGCTCAAGATTCCTCTGCACTTATCTACTAAGTCATTGCTTGAACTAATGAAATCATAGATTTTTCACATATGTAAAACATACACAAATGGACAAAAGAAGTGAGCTACAATGAATCTTTGGCCAGGTAAGATGCATTCCTCTTTGCTTTCCTCACTAATGGGGAAGAATCTCATGGATAACGCTAAACTGTTTATGTATCCAATTGGAATACATTACATTTTTTAAAAACTTTTTTTTCTGAGTCACTCTTCTTTGTAATTACTGCGAGCTAACAACAAAAATTATTTTGAATTTCCTAAAAACATACTGTTGAGGAGAAAAGTAACCAGAAGTGTGCTGGATCCATTATGGTATTAAAAGGTTGTTGTAAATAATGTGGTATTTCACATATAACAGAAAAAATTGGAAACTTTGATTAAGTTTCTAACTCCAAGGCTAAATGAAGTAAAAGTAGGATAAGCTACTCATCTTTTTTGCCTGGCACTTACCATGGGCAATTCTATGAAATCACACAAACAAAATAAATGGTAAATCTCTCATAAAAATATATGAATAAAAATGCATTCCAAAGAAGATAGTTTGCAGTGCTGATCAATGTTAAAATATATTGTGTATTTTTGTTACACAGTATTTAAAAATTTTAAATTGAGGCCATATCTTAAAATGTCAAAGAATCCTCCTACTGTAGCAGCTAACCTCTAAGATAGAATTTCACTGTGGCACAGATCAAATCCTTAACTCCAAAGTATTTCACAGAGCACTATCTACCTCACAGACATTTTCTCTACACACAAAAACTCAATGAAATAATCACCACCACAAAAACTGAAATGTTACTGTTTTATTTATATGAACTAAAAACATCTGGAAATTTTTTAAAGGCAAAAAATAGTTCTCAAACCTCCAAATCAGGTCTAGGGCATTAATCAAGAGATTAAATATTGGGATTCCTTTTTTTTACCCCCTAAGCATCATAATACACTTCCACATTGAAGAACAACTTATAAACAGAACATGGGTACCTGTCCCACTGCTGCCACTTCTGGGAAAAGAGTAGTTTGCAACTTAACATTCTGGCAAACAAGAGGACAGAACATAGGCACCGAGTTATGTACTGGATACACTCCCAACTCTGACAGTGAACCTTACAGTACTGGCCATTTTATCAGTTCTCTTTTTTTCTGGCCCTATTAACTTTTACAGACCACATCTAACCTTGCATTCAAATAGTTCAATACTTCCATCAAGCTAGTGGAATCATTAATCCACTAATGTCTCGAGCTAAAGTGGATGAATTCTGTCTTAAATTAAGGATCTTGTTTATTAAAGCAAAATCAACACTATAGCAAATCTTGCACAAAATTTGGTCAGCAAGGGTGTAGGGTTTGCTCTAATTTGCATTTCTCTATCTGCACAGAGATGTACTTAGATCTTCGGAGACAAGAGACTAGGTCTACTAAGTCCTGTATCAACACACAATCCAAACCTTTCCCAAGTCCTATTTGTCTTGGCTTGAAGAGAGATGATTCATTCAAACTCATTCTCTTATATTCATGATTCTCCACTTTTACTTCTGAATGTAAAGAGGTTTTCCAAAAATTAACAGAAAGGTCTTACTGGCTCCAAAAAGAGCAGACATATTCACCACTGGCAGAGACTGCCAAGATGATTACTGCGGGGTTTGTGTAGCTGTTTTTTCTTACAGCCAGCACATTACTAAGGAAGTGAAGGATCACACATGTTATGATTGCCCTCCTCCCCCTGCCCTTTGATATCTTCAAGATTTTCCACAGTTCATGAAATATCACATCACTGATGCATTCAAGAATCATCATAAGGGCCTATCAATAAATGTAAACAGCTATGGTGTAGTGAAAAACAAAGAAACAATCAGAGAGGCATAGAGCTTTTTTTTTTTTTTAAAGGATTTTATACTATGTAAAAAAAACCACAAAATAAAAAAAAGGGTCAGTCAACATGAATTTTAGGAGTCCTTCCCAAAAGTCTCAATACCCACTGGTCAAGCAGGCTTGCCTTCTTTCCTCTTTGCTTTCAGCCTAAAGGCTTACTAAGGATTGCCAGAGGTGATTTGTGCTCTGAGTTCTTAAAATCAGACTTGCTCTGCCAGATCCAAGACTCTGAATTTATCCAAGTTGTAGAAACAAGCTTTCACTACCCGTCCACCAAAATACCTCCCATTCAGATCAACAACAGCTAGAATGCAAACAGAAAAAGGTGATTAAATGCAAAGATGAAAATCAGTTATTTTTGAAAAATTCTCCAATATAAAGCATATTTAGTTGTATAATTTAATTTACCTTTAATTGCTGATTCAACCCTTTCAAACTCTAAAAATATTCGTACAGCTTCATCATCAGGAGCACCAGGAATCTGAAAGAGAGATTAAATCATACTAATAAAGATTCTACGTTCCTATACTAAGAGTGGCCTACATATATATAGCAAATTTCATGGTTTAACAATAGTTAGCATTGATTTGACACTTTAGGATTTGCAAAGCACTTTACAAATATCATCTCATTTTATCTTCACCACAGCCCTGGGAGGGAGAAGATATTAATCTTACAAGCCATTTTCCTCACAGCTGCCTAGTGACATAAGTAGTATACAGATGATTATCTCAATTTTACAAATAAAGACACTAAGGCTCAGAGAAGTTACATGTCATATAATATGTGGAAGAGCCAGAATTCTGACTTTAAGACTAAAACCGTAGGGGCAGCTAGGTGGCGCAGTGGATAGAGCACCAGCCCTGCAGTCAGGAGGACCTGAGTTCAAATCCGGCCTCAGACCAAACACTTGACACTTACTAGCTGTGTGATCCTGGGCAAGTCACTTAATCCCAATTGCCTAACAATAAAAAAAAAATTAAAAAAAAAAAAAGACTAACACCCTATTGCCTTCTGAGCCAGTCCTGGGATACTGTGCATAATCTTCTACACTAACAAGATATCTTACTAAGTATCCTACTTTGGCAATTTGGCAATATATGGGAGGAGCAAGGGCGAGAAGTTGAGGATAAAAATAAAGCTGAAAACATGAGAAGGATGGTAGTACTCCCTCAGCAGAAATAGAGAAATCTGAAAGAGAAATTAGTTTTTTGGAGAAAGCTAATGAGTTTTGTTTTGGACATGCTGAATTTGAGATGTCGGTGGGACATCCAGTTTGAAACACCCAGCAGGCAGTTAATGATGGGGCACTGAAACTCAGTAGACCCTGGGACTGGAGACAGACAGAGAGAGAGAAAAAGAGAGAGAGACAGACACACATAACACACACACACATACACACACATACACCCCTGGGAGCTAATTCCACAGAGGAAATTAAACTCATGGGAGCTGATAAAGTCACTAAATGAGAGAGTAAAGAAAAAAGAGGACCCATGAACCTCAGGGCATACCCACAGTCAGGAGGCACAATACAGATGATGAGCCAGCAAAGAACACCAGAGAACAAGTAAGTAACAGAACCAAGAGATAGTAGTAAACCTAGAGGCAATATCCAGGAGAGGTTGGTCAAAAGAAACAAATGCTGCAGAGAGATCAAGAAGAATGAGAAATAAGAAAAGGCCATCAGATTTAGTAATTAAGGCATGACTGGTAACTTTGGGGAGAACAAAGTAAAATTGCCAAAATAATCTCTTGGTTGTGGAGTCAGAGGATCTGGCTTTAAATCTTGCCTCTGACATTACTTGTATGACCTTGAGTGAGTTACTTAATCTCCCCTGGGCCTCAGTTTCCTCAACTGTAAAACAAGGAGCTCTAGACCAATGAGTATATGATGTTGGTATGTTGCTCTTCTGTTCAAAAACTTTTGAGGCTTCCGATGGAGCAAAATTCAAAGTCTTGGCCTTTAAGGCCCCCCATAATCAGATACCACCTTACTTTTTCAGGCTTCTCTGTTACTAATCCCCTCTATGTCCTCTAGCCAAACTCTGCCCACAAAGAGGCAGTGAGCTCTTTCTTCTCTGTATGCCTGGAATATCCTCCTTCCCCATCGTTGCCTATTCCTAACCCCTTTTTTAAGTCTAACTCAAATGACACCTCCTCTTTGAGGCCTTCCCCCTTATACAGCATATAGCACACAGGCACTTAACAGATGTATACTGAATAGCAAGCAGCTGTCATTGAACCAAAGCATGGAAGGAACCTTCTATGTATCTGCTGATAGGCTGTATTTCTGTTGTTCTTGTCTTTCTAAGACAAGCTGATCACCAAATGTGGAGAATTCTTTTGGCCACAGCAACTCACAAAGAATATTTACTGAATTGTGGAAGGGTTGGAATCTGCATCAGTATAGGGAGTAACCCAAAGTATTATCTCCACATTCAAACTTTTATAGTATAGCAAGAGTACTGTGGGCAACATATGAGAAATACTCTTGTAATTAGGTAGTAATTTACCTTGACATTATTACTCCACCTGCAGCAGAGAACAAATTGTTGAAGCTCTATTCTAGCAAAAAGAAGTTGGCATAATAGTCCCTGAAGCTGCAACATAGAGGGAAAAGAGGTCTGACTCTTGGCTTAAAAGTTTTTCTTTCTAAGTGTTTTTCATCATAAGCATATAAATGTTCTTAGGAGGATAAAAAAAGAAAGGCCATTACTTCAAAAATTACACATTTTCCAACTTTGCCATATTTTTCACACTCTTCCTTGGTTTCACCTTCTAGATCTTCATCTACTTCTCCAGCACCCACCATGTTCTGCAAATCAAGGAAAAGAAATTCAATGACTATATGTCAAACTAGATGGTTACAGGTATGCAAACAGCAAATCTTAAAATTTCATAATGACAAATTTTCTACTTCAAGACTGACATACTGGAAATTTTTATCCCTGAAACATTCCGAAGCTAATGGTTCTTTTAAAAATTAAAGGTATTTATATTAAAGAAAGCCCTGGGCATCAAGTTAATGAGGGTCCTATTCAGGCACTAGAATTCTGCACAGCCTTCCAGTAGCAGAAGAGAGAAATGTTAAAAATAATATTTTCCCCTGGTCTGAGAAACTACCATACTTCAAAGCATCATAGCAATCTTTGAGTAATTTCTAACCACTGAATCGCAAAGAAATGAATACCTCAACACAAATAACTTTAAAATCACATTTTGATTTCTGACAATTTCAGTTAAGGAAAGGAAAATCTTTCTTTTACAAGATCCTGCAATAACCAACCTCTCTCTAAGACTTGCATTTCTTTATTATTAGTCAGTTTTTGAGTTCTCCCCAAATGACAACCATGACCCTGATTCTTTTGATAGTCACTGACACAATAAATTGTAGCTTATGTAGCAACTTTGGTGAATAAACATGCACTTTTTTGTTGCTGGTTTTTTTTTCTTTCTTTTTTTTTTTGTGTATGTGTATGTGTGAGGCAACTGGGGTTAAGTGACTTGCCCTGGGTCACACAGCTAGTAAGTATCAAGTGTCTGAGGTCACATTTGAACTCAGGTCCTCCTGATTCCATGGCTTGCTCTATCCTAGCTGTGCCACCTAGCTGCCCCATGAACATGCACTTTTAAAAAGTAAAATCAGTAAGCTATAATTTGTATTTAGATGATTCCTGGACATAAATTATGCAGGAGAAATAATTTAAGCAGTTACTATTTTTGTTCTTCTATACTTGAACAATATTTGAAACAAAGCCAGACAAAAAGAAAAGACTTTTTTCTACTTACCCTTAGTAGAACCACTTTTGTAGGACACTTCAGAATCTCGGTTAATGGATTTGAATCTGATTTCTTGGATGCATCTGCAGCAACAGAATAAACCAATATGTATGAAAACCAATACGTATGTTATCACAGTAAAAAGCTGGGTCAACCCTTGCCATCATGAAACAATGAAATCCAACAATGAGCATCGTGTTTCTCCCAATATCATCTCAAGCACTTCAGCAATCTTTCACACAAGAGAAAAGGATACCTACTTACAAAAAGACAACCAACTGGCTTTGTTATAGGGAATGCTTATCACAGTGATTTTCAAAATGGTTTTCAAAGAGAGGTTTTTAGTTACTGGATAAGTTATTATTTCACTTCCCAAAGGAGAGCATAAATGGCTTAGGACAAATGCTTACAACTTAACTTAGTACAAAATTCTGGCTTGGCTATGTACAGAATGTTCCAAGCTGTCAAGCAGCCACTTGTTCTGTATCAGTGCCTTATCAGTACTGTTCATGGCAAGTTAATAACTGACTGCAGATTCTAATTACTTTGCTGGTAGTATAGCCTAAAGAAAAGGAGGGCAGTGAAGTACAAAAAAAAAAAAAATCGGTTCCCAGTAGCCTTGTGATACTAATAGAATACTATACCAGGTGTGGAGTTGGAATGGAACTCTAAGGCCATCTAGTCTAACTCCTCTCCAAACCCTGAATCCTATCAATAACAATCCCAATATATAGTCACTGGGCCTCTGCCTTGTCATCTCTACTAGCAGGGAACTATCCCCAGAGGCAGCCATTTTCATTTCTGAACAGATCAAATGTTAGAAAGTTTTCCATTACAGTTGGCCAATGGCTCATTCCTCTCTTACAAGGGAGTCCTTTAAATATTTGAAGACAATTATGTCCCTAAAATTTGTCCTCTCCAGGCTAAACATCCCATTTGCTGTACAACTTATGTGCTTACTATATGGTAATAGTTTCTAATCACACCACTGCTTCCAAAATGCAAGTGGAAAAGTGAGCATAAAAGTGAGTAAATGGAAGCTATGGGTGTAGACAACTTTTTCTGGGAGTTTGTGTATTAAAGGGAGGAAGGATACATAGGTTGATTAGTTTGAGGAAATGGTAGGCTCAGATAAAGGTTCTAAAGGACAGAGGCAATCTGGACATGTTTGTAGGTAACACTTAAAGCACCAGTGACTAAAAAGAGGTTGGAAATTAGGGAAAGATGTTTGAAGGGAAAGCAATCTGAGAGAAAGAGGAGATGGAAATAAGGATGCAGATAAAGGCTCAGAGATTTAGAAAGATCTCAGGAGCCACTGAATCTAAACTCTTTATTTTGCAGACTGAGGAAACAGGTACATAGAGGTTAAATGGCTTGCACAGGGTCACAACTATTAAGTTTTTAAGGATGGATATGAACCCAGAACTTGTTGACTCCAGGTTCAGTGTCCTATCTATTACACTACTCTGCCTCTCAAGGGGTGGCACTGGAAAGAAGGGTTATCTCTCTAAGTCAATAGCAAAGGAGAGGATAAAAGATAATGTTGAAATGATATGCAATATGGAACTGGGGAGGAAAAAGAACTTATGACATCATTATGGGAAGTGTAATGAGAACTGGACAAGGAATGAAAATATTGGTGTAAGACAGTGAAAGACCAGTTGAAACTGTATAATCTAAGTTTGTAGCGGACCAGTAGGCTAGGTAACTTTTAGGCAGATGATGGCATAATTCAGGGCTGGGATCTGAAAAAAGATAAGCAACAATATAACAAGAAAACAAGAGACTTAAAGGTAGGGGACAATGAGTACAAAATTCAACTAGTTATCTCAAAAGTCAAGATTTTTGAAGGAGAAAAACAAGGCCAGAATAGGGGCAATGGTCTAAGTAAAAGGGGAGGGAAATAGCGAGTAAAACCTGGGTAAGGTAGGAGAATAGATTTAAGAAGGTTAAGGTAAAAAGAGAACTATAAAGACAGGATATTATGAGTGAGAAGTTTCAAAATTGTGGATTGTGGAGGTGAATACTTGTAAGTGATGATGTGATCAATGTAGCATGACAGTATAGATCTGAGCAGGCTACAGGTAAAAGCACTAGGAAATAAGGAGAGGCTGAATATTGGGGAGGGGAAATGACTGAAGGAGTTAAGTTCCCGGAATCAGAGAGTATCAAGGGTAAAAGTATAATATCATAGATTTAAAGCTGGATGGGACCTAAGGGGCTTTCAAGTCACTATTTTTATGTTAGCATTTATCAGGAATCTTGGATTATCTTAACATATACATGAGGAACTTACATGAGAAAAGCCTTTAAGGGTACATTCCACTCTACTGTGTCAAATATTTATTAATCAAGAAATAACATACTGAATGGAATCTTGTATTCTCTGAATGCTTCAGTCAGCTATGTAAGGATAAAGATACAGTCCAACAAAGAAATCCGTGAAAGTCTACTTATTTTTTTCTCATATTTTCATGGAGGCTACTCTTGAAGTGTGTATATCATTTGATCGATGACATCATAAAAAAGGAAAAGTAAGTATATGGGTTAATAATTACTGACATTCTCTTTTCTCATTAAGAATATGTCTGTGTAGGGTGGAGCCAAGGTGTTGGAGTGGAGGTAGCAGTCCAGCTGAACTCTGCCAACATTCTCCTCTAAACAACTTTAAAACAATGTATCGAATTGAATTTTGGAGAGGCACTGCCAACAAAAGGTTAGAGCGAGACATTTTTCTAGCCCAAGACAACTTGGGCAGGAAAGGTTGGTAACAAGAGGGTAAGGCTGGCTTGGAAGGTAAATGGCGGCAACACCAGTGGTGGGCCTAGAGGTAGCTACAACAGGGTAACAGTAGTTTTGAGAGCTCTCAGTCCAGAGACAGCATGGGGCGGGGGAGGGAAAAGGAGGGAAGAAATGACTGGGAAAATGGTCAGGAGATTATGGAAGCCCTTTTGCTGGAACTGGGCGTGAGATCTGGCACTGTTTGACAATGCCACTGCCCCTATGCAATTCTGGGTCACAGTTTCAAGGCTGTGGAGGAGCACATGTGGTCAATCACAAAGGAGAAGGCGCCCCAGTCCCAGGGTTCCAAAGCAGAGAGGAGCACTAGTGCTTAGGGTAGCAGGGGCCCTTCCTTGGTAAAGACCAGAGAGCATACCAGGAGAGCAGTGACCACACCTCTCCCTGGATCACATCACCCTGGAAGCACTGAAAACTTACAGACTCCCAGAACTAGCTCTGAAAAGAGCAGCGGAAAAAAGCCCAAAGGTTAGCACAATGCCCCTCCCCGACTCCTAAGTGAGCAGTGTTCAACTCTAACGTGAAGTTCAAAATGAAAAAATAGGTTAGAAAAATGAGTAAACAACAGAAAAAAAACATGACCATAAAAAGCTAATAAGGTAGCAGGAAAGACCAAGACAAAACTCAGAAGACCTCAATGTGAAAACAGCTACAAGCAAATCCTCAAAGAAAAATGCAAGATGAAAATAAGCCCACCAAGAATTCCTGGAAGAGTTAAAGAAAGAGATAAAAGAGGCAGCTAGGTGGTGCAGTGGATAGATCACTGGCCCTGGAGTCAGGAGGACCTGAGTTTAAATCCAGCCTCGGACACTTGATACTTCCTAGCTATGTGACCCTGGGCAAGTCACTTAAACCCAATTGTCTTACAAAAAAAAAAGAGAGAGAGAGACAGATAAAAGTCATGGAGGAAAAATGCAAAAAGAAATGAGAACAATACAAGAAAATCATGAAAAGAAAATTAATGGTTTAGTAAAAGTGGCCCAAAAAATACTGAAAAAAATAACACTTTAAAAAACAGAACCAGCCAAATGGTAAAAGAGGCACAAAAATTCATTGAAGAAAAGAATTCCTTAAAAAGCAGAATTGGCAAAACGGAAAAAGAGGTATAAAAGCTCACTGAAGAAAATATTTCCTTAAAAATTAGAATTGGGCAAATAGAAGCTAATAACTTCATGACACATCAAGAAACAATAAAACAAAGTCAAAAGAATGAAAAAAAAGAAAAAGAAAATGTGAAACAGCTCACTGGAAAAACAACTGATCTGGAAAATAGCTAAGGGAGAGATAATTTAAGAATTATTGGATTATCTAAAAACCATGATCAAAAAAAGAGCCTAGACACTGTATTTCAAGAAATTAAAAAGGAAACTTGTCCCAATATCTTAGAACCAGAAGGTAAAACAGAAATTGAAAGAATCTACTGATCACTTCCTAAAAGAGATCTCAAAATGAAAACTCCCACAAATATTACGGCTAAATTCCAGAGCTACCAGGTCAAAGAGAAAATACTGCCACCAGCCAAAAAGAAACAATTCAAGTATCATGAAGCCACATTCAGTATCACACAAAATTTAGCAGCTTCCATGTTAATGGAGTGGAGGGCTTGGAATATGATATTCCAGAAGGCAAAGGGGCTTGGATTATAACCAAGAATAACTTACTCAGCAAAACTGAGTATAATCCTTCACGGGGAAAATGGTCATTTAATAAAATACAGGACTTCCAAACATTCCTGATGAAAAGACCAAGACCTGAATAAAAAATCTGACAAACAGAAGACTGAAGAGAAGCATAAAAAGATAAACATGAAAGAGAAATCGTAAGGAACCTTTTAAGGTTAAGATGTTTATATTCCTATGTGGGAAGATGAGACATGTAACTCCTAAGAAGAACTTTACCATTATTAGGGCAGTTAGGAAGAGTCTACATAGATGGAGGGCAATAAGTGTGTCTACTATGTTGGGATAATCTAAAAAAAGGGGGTAAGAAAGGGATGCACTGGGAAAAGAAGGAAGGGAGAGGAAGAATGGGGAAAATTTTCTCACATAAAAGAGCACAAGGAAGAGCTTTCACAGTGGAAGGGATAATGAGGGGGGAGGGGGCCAGCAACACTTGACCCTTAACTTGAACTTTACTCTCATCAGAATTGGTTCAAAGAGGGGATAACACAAAGGGGAAGCAGAGTAATAAATGGAAGGGTAGGTTAAGGGAGCCAGTGGTCAGAAGCAAAACAGACTTTTGAGAAGGAATGGGGGGGAAGAGGGAGAAAAGGATAAACAGAAGAAAATATGGTGGAGGGAAATACACAGTTAGAAATCATAACTGTGAATGAGAATGGAATGAACTTACCCATAAAACGGAAGCAGATAGCAATGCATTAGAAACCACAATCCAACAATATATTCATGAGATACATACTTGAAACAGAGACACACACAGAGTTAAAATAAGGGGTTGGAGCAGAATCTATTATGCTTCAGTTGAGGTAAAAAAAAAAAAAAAGGCAAGGGTAGCAATCACGATAGGACAGCTAGGTGGCACAGTGGATACAGCACCAAGCCAGGAGTCGGGAAGACTTGAGTTCAAATCTGGCCTCAGACACTTATGAACTGTGTGACCCTGAGTAAGTCACTTAACTGTGTTTCCCTCAGTTTCCTCCTCTATAAAATGAATAGGAAAAAGAAAAAGCAAACCACTCCATTATCTTGTCCAAGAAAACCCCAAATGGAGTCACAAAGAACTGGACATGACTGAATAATAACAACAAAGCAATCACGACCACAGACAAAGGAAAAGAGAAAATAGACTTAAGCAGGGAAACACCTTTTTACTATTAAAAATGCCACCTACTTCTAGAGAGAGAACTAATGAACTCTGAGAGCAAAACGAAATATAACTTCTTCACTTTTTAAATTTTTCTTGCCTTTTTTTGGGGGGGGGAGAGAATATGGCCAATATAGAATATGTTTTGCATTATTTCACATGTATAATTGATATATTGCTTGTCTTCTCAATGGGTGGAGGAGGAACTGGAAGGAGAGAAAGAATCTGGAACTCAAAAAAATTTTTAATGCTAAAAATAATAATTTTTGAAAATAAAAAAAGTATAGCCTGTGATTCCTGCCCCGTTCTCCAATTTTGTGATCTCTTCCCCTCCCTGAGCTATCCTGTGAAATGATCCCTCAATGTTTTCAAGATAGTGCTACCTCCTGCACAATTTTCTTCAGTACATAACTGGTCTGGTCCAGCAACTCTTCCAGAATTCATCTTAAGAGCCATTTCAACTTCCCTAATATCTCTGCTGGGGACTTGAACGTCAGGTTCAAATGTGATGAAAACAGGCTGTTACAGAAATACCAGTTATTTTGTTCAATTTTTTGCCTATTTGTTGCCTTTCATTTTATCTATGAATACTCTTGGGTTCATGTAGGTGAGTTAAGTGTCACACCAAGGTAAACTTTTGTTTTTGTTATCTTTTGAGGAGATACTAATCCTAGCCTCCTGCTGTCCTCCTCTATAGTGTTTTACAAGTGAGTTAATATTTTAAACACATGCTGTACTTGGATGTTCCATCTCTCCATTTGGCAAAGAGAGAAGCAACCTGGTACAGTCAATAGAGCACTGGTCTCAGGAAGACCTGAGTTCAAATCCTGCCTGACTCAAATGAGATACAGCACCATATCAATGTTACTGTTGTTGTTATTATTAGATGTTGACATGTTTTCTGCCTAATATGGTTTCAGCTTCTTCAAGTCCCCTCTTTTTGGTGACTGCTTTATACTGGTTAAACATTTAGAGGAAATGATGATAAGTTCAATGTCTTTGCCTTTTTCTATGTCCCATTTTTAGGCACCAATGACTTGTTTGAGTAAATCAGACTGAAGTTGTTGCAATTATTCACTGTATTTTAATTCTATCTTCAACTTTGATAATGGGTTTTTTTCCCTTTTTCTTAACTAGTTGATGGCTTAAACACACAGAGCTGATTCTTCTCTGACTCCCACTTCTGTCAAGAGAGTCAATTTCATTGTTTTTAAAAAAAGGAGAAAATGTTCCCCATGTCCAGTGCCTTGTAACTCTTCTTGAAGAAATGCTTCTTGATTGAACAAAATATGATACAAAGGCACAAGATTACTGAGATAAGCCTTTGACTTTTTTGGTTTTTCATAGCTAAGGAATATTTTCTAAAACTTTTCACCATCCAACCTGTGCTCACCTTTGCACTGAAGTCACCAAGAATCAAAGCTATATGTTAACTTGGCTTGCAGGAGCTTGTCAAGTTCTTTGTATAATTTTGCTAACTTTCCATTTTCTACAACAGATGCAGTTATATTCATACTTATTACTTTGCTTAGGTAGCCAACTGTCTCAGGAAGTGGTATTTCCTTGTTGCTTTTGGGTGCATTTGGGTTTGGTAACTGGTCTTAACATCACGAAGACTTGAGTATATAGCCTCAGATACTCATAAGTTGTTTGACCCTGGACAAGTCACTCAACCCCTGCCTGCCTCAGATTCCTCAACTATAAAATGGGGATAATAACAACACGTATCTCCCAGGGTTGTTGTGAGGACCAAATTAGATAATACTTATCTGTAAAGCATTTAGCACAGTGCCTGGCATATAATAAGCACTATGTAAATATTATCATTAAAAAAGTTTTATCTTTTTGTCTTTCTATCACAGTCATTTCCCAGACTTTCCTAAACTCCCAAACTGAAACCTCCCTTCACAACAAATAAAAACAAATAAGTAAAATAGGCTATTATACACAGTTCTTTGTTCTAGTAGTGGCCTACCTCTCTTTTATTGTCAACAACTCTCATTTGCCTCTCCAAGAAGAAACTCTGAGTCACCTTTCCATTAGATTTTAACTCTGTCTTTTGGTTTTATCCATAAGAAAATCAATATAATTTGATTTTAATTCTTCAAACAGGTGTAACAAATTGTTAACTAACAGATGAGCACTTCATAATTAGAGTACCCACTGTTTATAGACAGTCCACAAACCAATTTCCAACAACCTTTTTAAAAGAAATAGCTTAAAGAAGGAAATCTATGGCCCAGCTATATTGTCTATGGGTAGTATACAGATTGAGTGATTCTTAATGATTTCTGACATCCTTTCTTGTCACTGAGAAAGCAGAAGGGGATGGCTTAGGACTGAGGGGCATTTTAAATTTATTTCATTGAATTGCCACAGTCAAAGAATTCATCACTTGGTGACCAGTTTCTCTGTAATGACCATCACTCTTAGCTAAGTTGTGCCACAGACCACAGACTCAGTTGGTAACAAATATGGTACTTGAAGCCCTTTCAGTATGATTGAACTTGACAAAGCCTATATCTTAGGACAGTCTTTAAGGATGTGTCACCTCTACAACATACTGTTGCACTGGAATAAGACTGTGGAATTTAAATAAATCCCTAAAATGCTACCCTTGAGGTTTTTGCCTGATTTTAATTCACTCTTAAGGAAAAACAATTCTGACCTGCAACAAAATCATAAATTAATATTAAATCACAATTAAGAAAATATCTGGGCCTCAGATATAAAAGCAAAATTTAGCTGAAGGAATTAAATAGTAGGAAAGGACAGGAAGAGTGATAAAGCAAACAGGATACATATAATCAAGAGAACTCAACATATATCTAATTAACATGGCATACATATATCACTAATATTAATGCTACAAAATCCAATTAAAAGATATGATGGTTCCAATTTCACATCAAGATTCTTTCTTCAAAAGAAACTGTAGCTTCATCTTTTCCTAATGACTTTTTAAAGAAAGAAAAAAGATTTTCTTTTCCTCCAATTTCCCCATTTTTCCTTATTAAGAGTTTAAATCTCTAGCCTTATTCCAACAATTAAAGGCAAGAACCTGGCTGAATCTCATGTCTGGACTACTTCTTCCTCCTCTGCTCTGCCTACTGAGTTCCCTAGTTTCCTTAAGTCCCAGCTAAAGTCCCATCTTTTACTGAAGGCCTTTCCCAAGTCCTCTTACTTCTAGTGTCTTCTTTCTGTTAATTATTTCCTACTTCTCTGTATATAGTTTGCTTTGCATATAGTTGTATGTATATTGTCTCCCCCATTAGACTGTAAGCACCTTGTGGACAGGGACTGTCTTTTGCTTTTTTTCATATCCCCAGAGCTTAGCATGGTGCCTGGCACACAGAAGGTGCCAAATAAATGTGTTTGACTGAAGAACCATCTAAAAAAATCTGTAGTTTTGGGGGAAAAGGTTGTGTCAATGAATATACTCTTGTAGAAAAAACTGCAAATTGAGTGAAAGGCTATATAGCCTTTCTTGTTCTCCTTGATATCTACAACCAAACGGTCCTTTTTCAGAAGACATACCTTTCAGGGGGCAACTAGGTGGCGCAGTGGATAGAGCCCCGGCCCTGAAGTCAGGAGGACCTGAGTTCAAATCTGACCTCAGACCAAACATTTGACACTTACTAGTTGTGTGACTCTGGGCAAGTCACTTAATCCTAACTGCCTAAAAAAAAAAAAAAAAAAAAAGAGAGACATACCTTTCTCTGTAGCATCACCAACAATGATCTTGCCACCTCGCTTACTCGTCTTTTCAACGGACAATGCTGTGCTCAGTCCTTGCTCATGTTTTCCAAGGCCCTGGCCTTCTCGGAAGCCATACTTCTGCATGATTTTATGAGCTACGGTACCACTAGCAAGAGAAACAATGAAAAGTATGATGTTAAGTCAGTTTTCTTGTCATCAAAATCAAACTGACACCCAAAGGATTGTGTGAGTTCTGGCATGTTACAAAAACTAATTTCAGGTAATATTAATAGCACATAAGTATAAACAGCTACCTTGGAATTTAGGTGACAATATAAGGTGGAATATAATACTAGATAACAATATAAGCTAGAAAGGGTTTGAGTAAATTAATGGATAATAGGCATATATAGGATAAAAGTGTTATGAAAGTTAAAATGAAGCAAGTTCATTCACATACTAAAGTGAAGAAATTCCAAATTACAGAGACAATAGTACAAGATCTACTACGCCAATGGGACAAGAAAAAAAAATTCTTGTCTCACTCTATTTGGAATTCTGAAGATTCTAGGCAAATGACATCTAACTCAAAATGTATAGTGTCTATTTACAAATTATATTTTAAAAAAATAACAATTATCAAGCATGATATTTAAGATAAATATGAAGTTGAACATGAAAATTATAAAAACAACTTAAATGTACAAGTTTTTAGAGAAGATGATGTCACACTGTTGGAATGTCCTCCAAATTCACTAAGGGGTTGATCCTTGAAGACAGTATAGAACAAAAATAATTTAACTACACACAAAAGCATACACTAATATTCAGGCAATGGCTACATGTGTCAAAGAGTTTGAAATGTTCTTTTACACCTACATTCCAGATCAAAGATTTAGAGCTATAAAGGTTGTTAGGGATCAACTATTCCAACCTCATTTTACAGATTAGTAAACTGAAGAAAACATCAATTGAGACTTAGCCAAGGTCACACGGGAAGTAAGTAGCAGAGTTATGATTCAAATCCAGCCTCTTGGACTTAAAATCCAGCAGTTTTCCACTATCCACATTGCTTCCACTTAACAATGTTGCTCAAATTCTTAAGAATTTATTTTTCAAAACGAATTCAACTAAAATAATTACCCCATGTTAGCAAGGAAGGAATTACTGGGCCCTGTTGGAGATCGTGGTCTCTCTTGTTCATCATACACAGGGGGAGGAATAGCAGCTTTGGAAGACTGTGAACGAGGTCTTGACTCCTCTTCAAATGGAAAATCTCTGGGTACTGTTTAGATAGAATGAAACAAGCTTACAAAGAAGAAATTTTGACAAAAAACATATCTTTATAAAATTATTTTTATTGCATTAACTACTTCAAATATTTATGTTTCATGCAGCTCAATGAGGGTTTGGGAAGAAATAAAATCTTTTATGTCTCATACCCAGGACTTAGAGCATACCACAATAAAGAACAGCTACCAGGATCCCAAACTGATCCTTGGACTACTTGTCTCCCTTCTTGCCTTTAACCCAAAATGAGGCAGATGAAGTTAAAAAAACTGCTAGGAGCAGAAAAGAATGTGATGTTTAAATTTTATTCAGGTAGTCCCACAATGATATATATCTGACATAAAAGTGGCAAGCTGACAAGGGCAAGAACTCCTATTCTTTCCTTCTCTATGCTAGACCTGCAGTTGTCAACCCTGTGAGATTCTCTAGTGCAAATCACAGGAACTATACCAGCGATTTGGAGCTGAGGAGTCACCACTCTAAAGTCTAAAGTCTCAAATGTACCAGGTTGGCCATGGGAGGATTTCAGACCAATGATTCAGCTGAAATAAGGCTAAAGGTATTTGTGATAGTTCAAATTGGAACACATAAACACCTTTTCACTAGACACATGGTACTTAACTTCTATGACACTACATCTCAGTGGCATTATAGGTTAAATAGTCTCTAGGGGACTGGCCTAAGAATGTAAATTATATTATGGTTAACATCTAAATCTGTGCGAAAATATATTCTAACTTAAAACCAACAAATTAAAAATGACCTATCAGAACCTACTTCTTTTGGAAATGAATTTTCTATGATTTTTCATTTTAAGTGAATGGTGTTTCAATTACATTAATTATAGGTTAAACAGCCATGGCCTAGGAACCTAACCACCATTTGTAATATTGTTTCTTTGGAAAAAGCCATTCCTATTTAAATAGGTTATATATAAAATAAAAATTTTAACATACAATATAATTAAGGAAAACTTGGTCATAGGAGAGAAAATAGGACAAAATTCCAGTGGTTCTGACTTCTAGTTTTATATTAATCTGCCAGCTCACGCTATCTGTGTACTCAATTATACCAGGTGTATGTTATTTAGTAATTATGAATATAATAGGGAGTATTATAATGCTTACCACTCACTTACCTTCTCTTCCTCCTCCTAATAATAATTTTAGTGCTTTACAGGTTACAAAGCCCTTTACATATATTATTTCATTTGATTCTCTCACAGTAAAGTTATAGGACAGTGAGTAATTATAACATACATGAACAGAAAATCACAAATTTACAACAGATTGAAATCTGAAGCTCCAGACCACACACCTACCCTTTGCAGCAGATCTTAACACATTAGCAAATATGTAGAATCTCTTGTTTTAAAGGTTATTAAGCAGAATAGTTACACTATAATTCTATTTTTTTATGGGCCAGCTTAAGTAGCCTGGATGACTCCTCAAATTCTTTCCAGCTCATTACAATTTTGTTAATGGAACAGGTGGAAAGTAGTAGAGATCTTCTAGCAGGGAGCTTAACAGACACAAACACAATGCCTTGAAATGAACAGTAAGGAAATTAAAAATCAAGAAAGCGTCTGCCATCTAGTGGAGGGTGACCTATACTACAATTTTCTATGGCAGTCACCAGAAAAGTGGCAAGGTAAAGAACCCACATTTTTTTTTTCAATTAACTCAGTGATACCTCCTTAATTGGCAAAGTGTACAATTTTTAATCTTTAAGTCAATATGTCAACCCCAAAAAACAAGCTCAAATAAAATCACCAAAATAAATTGGACCTACTAAACCCAGTATTCAGAACTTGGCTGGCACACTGGGAAATAGAGAATACTTTGAAACTACATAGGAGATTGTGCTGGATTACAGTGGTAAAAGCAGCAAGAAAATAGAAATGAACCTCTTCTACCCCAAAGGATTAAGGATAGGAAAGTCTGGCCCTGTCTCTGAAGTTGTAAATCTGGAAAAAAAGACTGATTTGTTTATCTTAACAAGGGACTTACACAATTGAATTACATATAGAACAGAGGAAAACAAATCAGTTACTACTCTCTCAGGAAACCCAGCTGACTTAAGCTAAGAATTTTAATCACTGAGTCATAGCTAACATGAGACATTTTAAAAAATAAATGAAGTCAAGAAATAGATCAACATACATTCTTTGTCTTTTTCCACGAGAGAAGTTGGTGGTGCAATGGCAGCACCTCCCATGCCTGCAAATTAACATAAATTAAATTGATTAAAGGAATGGGTAAAATAAAACCATATGTTTCAAATTACTAATAAGAGAAATACAAATTAAAACTCTGAGATTTTACCTCAGACCCAAAAAATTGGCAAAGTTAGTTGGGAACAGCTAGAGACAGAAGGGTTGAGAGAAGACCAGCACACTAATATATCGGTTGGTAGAGCTATGCACTGATTCAACCATTAGGGAAAACAATTTGTAATTAAACTAGAAAAGTAAATTTTACATACCCTTTTACCTAGGCAAAGGTTACAGATAAAAAGATCTCCTATATACAAAAATATTTATGGCAATACTTTTTATAACAGAAAAGAACTGTGAAGTGGACACACAATGTCACCATGGCTAAACAAATCATGTTACATGAACAGAATATTACAGTGCTGTAGGAAATAAGGATTATGAAGAATTCTGAAGATTTGTGAAGGTTTATGTGAATTGTGTGAATCAAGTGAAATAAGCACAACTCTAATGATAAAACATTACTCCTTTCCCTGGTAGAAAGGTAGGGGAGGCCCACGCAATTAGACCTAGTCAATGTGCTGATTTATTTTACTTACCTTCTTTTTTGTTACAAGGGAGAGTTATGGGAGGAAGTGAGTTGGAAGTTGGGATGCAACCACAATCTTCTTTTTTAAAAGACTCATGAATAAAACTGTTACTGATTTTTAAAGAAAAATTTTTAGAAGTCAGATTCCTGATGACTTAAATCTATATTACGGCTGTCATCAAAACGGAAAAAAAATATCATCACCCAAATCTTATCAACACGGAAGTGAGAGAATCGAATTGACAAACCTCTACTAATATACAAGTTACTGGGGATACAAAGACACAAATTAATCAGTCCCTGCCTCCACGCCATAACATTCTACTAGGAGGAAACTACATGTACACAAGTAAGTAAATACAAATCATCTCTCCTGGATACATTTTCCTAGGAGCTCCTAACACTGTTCTCTCTTGTTTCTACTCCTATATAAATGACCACTCCTTCTCAGTGTTTCTCTGTGGGTTCTTCTTTCCTGTCACCACCACCAACTATGAGTGAACCCCAAGGCTCTGTCCTGGGACCTCTTCTCTTTTATCTTTATGTTTTCTCACTTGGTGATCTCAGCCTTCAGGGGTTCAGTTACTACCTCCATGCAGATCTACATGTTCAGCCCCAGTCTTTCTCCTGAGCTCCAGTCCTCAACCACCAAATTATTGGACATTTCTAATTGGATATTCCATAGGCACTTCAAATTCAATACATCCAGAGCTCATTATCGTTCCTCCCAAACCCAGCACTTTATAGAACTTCCCTATTCCATCATCCTTTCTTTGACCCAGGCTCATAACTTTATGTCCTTTATTCCTCATTCTCACTCATCCTACATATTCAATTTATGCCAAATTTTGTCATTTTACATTTACAACTTCTCTCATATACATCCTGTTCTCTCTATTCAAATAACCACTAACCTACTATGGGTCCTCGTCAACTCCTGCTTTCAATAGCCTTCTAATTGGGCTCAAGTCTCTCTGCACTCTAATCTATTCTCCACTCAGATGCCAATGATTTTCCTAAAGTAAAGGTCTGACCAAGTCACCCTCCTACACAATAAATTTCAGTGGTTTCCTGTGTCTTCTAGGGTCAAATATACAGCTCTCATCATTTAAAGCCCTGCCTTCCCCCACCAAGCTACCTCTTTCTACCTTTCCTCTTCTTACATTTTACTCCCCTCCACACATTTTTTGATAGTTAAACTAGCTATCTGCAGTTCCTCAACATTCCACCTGCCATTTCAGTGCCTTTGCAATGGCTGTTTCCCACGCTTAGAATGCTTTCTCTCTTCACCTCCACCTCTCAGCTTCCCTGGCTTCCTTCAACACTCAGCTTAAATGCTACCTTCTGCAGGAAGTTCTTTCAGGTTCCTCCTCCCAGTCTCTTATTTCCCTAGCTATTAGTGCCTTCCCTGAGATTAGCTCCCATCTATTCTGCATTTTTTTTTAACTATTTACTCTTTGGACAGCTAGATGGCACAGTGGATAGAGCACTGGGCCTCACGTACTAGCTGTGTGACCCTCGGCAAGTTACTTAACCTCTATTTGCCTCAGTTCCTCATCTGTAAAATGAGGATACACTGCAGAAGGAAATGGCAAACTCCTCTAGTATCTTTGCCAAGAAAACCCCATGGACCCATGGGGTCACAAAGAGTCAGACAAGATTGAACAACAACAACATCATTTACATGTTGTCTCCTCCACTACAGTGTGAACTCCTTGAAAACAGACTGTTTGGGACCGCAGTGTCTGCACAAAGTAAGCACTCAGTAAATGCTTACTGACTGACTAGCTTTAAGATGTCAATTTGTTTTTTATATCTGTACACATACTTTCACCACAAGGCCATTGGGTCTCATAAAAAAAAGTGACTGGATCTAAAAATATTAGATTTTTGTGATTTTTGTAGATTCAAAATATGTGATTTTTGCCTGTTCAAAGTCTTAGTGCTTAGTGGTGTATAGTATCATCATAATATCTTAATTATTAGTTTCACTTCTTTGACATAAATTCTAAACTTTCACACACTGTACTTAGGATCATTGTATTTAGAAGAAATACTAGCAACCTACAATGAAATTTGTGGGTATCAGAATAGTTTTGCATTTCACATTGTGAAGCACTGTAAATAAAGTGCATGATTTATTTGTAATGCTAAAATACATTTGCTTTTACTGTTACTAAGACATTTTGGAAATGTCCAGGGAAAATGCCTCTCCAAAACACAATGATCAATCTAATTCAAATAAGGGGAAAAAATGTGGCATATTCTTCTTCCATACTTCTTTTCCTCCTTTCTCACTCATAATCTCCCTCCTCATCAGAATCAAATGTCCAGGGGGCATTTCTTATAGAGAATAGAATACTTTTTACTAATTTTAGTGTTTGTCCATTGCCTAGAAGTTTCTTATTTAACTGATTTTCCTGATTGCTACAATATTTACAAAGTGAAATTAGACTTCAGATTGAAATGCCATTTATTCATCTTGTGAGAAAGTAGGCTACTCTAACTGAATTAAAGACCACCCTGATTAACATGAAGTTCTGGTTAGGGCTTAGCAAAATGTGATCCATGATGACAAAGAATTTGGATACCGCACCTAATACAGTGTTTGGCACATAGTAAACAGATGCTTACCTAAATAACAGGTATGATCATGACCCCCATTCCCCATGGCCCCACTTTAATAAATTCTAGTAGCTCCCTGTTGCCTTCCAGATTCAAATGGAAAATTCTCTGCTAGGGATTTTAAAGTTCTTCATAACCTGTCCCTTTCATACCTTTCTAATTTTCTTACCACCCTTCTATGTATTCTGTGGGTCAGAAACACTGGCCTTCTTGCTACTGCTCACACACAATCTTCCATCTCCCAAGTCTAGGCATTTTCCCTGGCTGCCCCCATTCCTGGAACACTCTCCCTCCTGCTTCCTCACTACCCAGGCTTTTTTCAAGTCTCAGCTAAGTCCCATTTAGTCTTTCCTAGTCTTCCTTAATCCTAGTACCTAAGAAATAACTTCTGAGACTACCTCCAATTTATTCTGAATATATCGTGTATGTACAAAGTTGTTTAAATATTGTTTCCCCCATTAGACTGTGCACTCCTTGAGAGCAAGGACTGTTTTTTGCTATTCTTTGTATTCCCAGAGCTTAGCACAGAGCCTGGCACACAGTAGGGACTTAATAAATGACAGCTGATGTTAAATATCTGTCAAATTGAAGGTTTACAGAAAGAAAGATATAGCGGGCAGCTAGGTGGCGCAGTGGATAGAGCTCCGGGCTTTGGAATCAGAAGGACCTGAGTTCAAATCTGCCTTCAGACACATAACACTTACTAGCTGTGTGACTCTGGGCAAGTCACTTAACCCTAATTGACTCACCAAAAAGCAAAAAGAAAAGAAAAAGAGAGTTGTAGAAAATGCACCTGCATATATGCATTTCACACAGTGAAAGAAAAGTCTATCTGGAAGAACAACAAAGAATACCAATCTAATTCAAGGGGCGGGGGATGATAACCATAGCATTTTTTGTTCCTTACTTCTTTTCCTCCTTTCTCGCTCATAATCTTCATCTTCATCAGAATCTGGATCTGGTCGTCTTGAAAACCCACTAGCTTCATGCCTATCTTTACGCCGCCTAAAAATATAGGAAACAGAATATTTATAAAACTTTACTAATTGGGTCTTCAAGTAGAGACTTCATAAACATTTTTGGGGATATTGTGGAGGGATTTATGTTTCAAGTAGACTGGATTAAATTACCTTTAAAGTCCCCTCAAAGTTACGTTTTTGAAATTTAGATAAGTGTTGCTATGGAATCCACTTTGACTTGTTCTTACACAACAAATGTCTATAGTTTCTTTTTCTATCAAAATATCATAAAATGTTAGAAAATGGATTGTAATTTAGATGTTACATAGTACAACACCCCTGTTTTCAGATTAAAGTTCTATTTCTGCAAGAGACTGGAACATAAGAATGCAAAGGACAATAAAGCAGTATCAATGTAGAATCCACATGGCATCAATTTAGCATACCTAATGTGAATACAGCTTAACTAAGAACAAAAAGATCACTATGGCTTTGTCCTTTTCAATTTGTGAACTATCTCAGTACAGATAAAAGACATTTCACTAGCAACAACAAAAGTGTCAAGCCCAGGACTTATGAACCTCCCTATTTCTATAAGCCCAGGACTTAAAGAAACTCCCTATTTGTTGCTAGTGAAATGATGAACAGAATAAAACACTTTAGCTCCTAAATATCTAACGTTATGTTCTTCTGCTTTGGAAAAAAAATGACTTATTTAGACTATGACAAGCAATTGCATGGCCATTCCACTGAATTAGCATATCATTACATGTATGGGTTAGGCACTGAAGATGAACCACGAGTAGGCTCCACAATTAGAGAATATGTATAAAGAGACCTGGATACAATTTGGGAAACTACTGTTCTTTTGTAGATACCAAGTAACTTCCAAGTAAAAAAAAATCTTTCCAATACAACCAAGTTCAAAGTGTCAGTGTAGGGTTGCAAATCTGAGACCACCACAATCCCTATGAAATTAAAGTTGTCGCCAATCCAAAAAGCAATAAGAAGTTTGGTGAGGGATAACAAATGGACAGTCAGAACACTCCACTGGTACCTTTAAAAAGACCTAGGGGAAGACATCCAGCACAAAAGAAGATACCTCTGGGGAGGAACTATAGAAGAACATACACATAAATCACATAGATAAAGAAAGCACGGCTGAGTTTTGAATGTAGAGTACGACCACCATGATAAGCTCACAGATCTACTAAATTATTTAAGTATATTCCTTGCATTTATAAAAGGCAGATAAAGTTAAACTCTTGCTAGCTATAAAATATTGGCTGTGAAGAAAAAAATGTATTTCTGGCTCAAATGAAGGTATTTAATGCCATGGAAGATGGGTGTTGAATATATATATGATATGTAATATTATGAAGGATATCTTATAAGTCTTTAATCACCATTGTGACAAAGGGAAAGGAGGGAAAAAAATGTCCCAAGACTGTCTCAATCCTCTCAAACCACTGCTGCTGCACTCCAATCCAAGAGCTGGGCAAGGTAATATGCCCAATTCCTGCCCATCTCTGTCCTTTTCCACCCACACCCAGGCCTCTTTCTGCTTTAATGCAGAAATGTTCAGTGTTTGGCTGTTACTCTGAAATGCAATAAATGTTACTTCTAGCTTTCATGTATCAAAGGATATATCATCTATGTGTATTTTTGTATTTTCTTAAAGAATCTAAATGGAAAAAAAAAATAGCAGAGAGAAGAGGGAAAGAAGAGGGGGCATTTTTATTACCTTTTCTTTTGTTGATAGCAATTAGAAAAATATAAACCCTTGGAAATTCTTAGTGGAGCTGTGTGCTTACTTCAGCAATAACAAGTTGACTATGAAATTGAGTTATGTTCCCCATTGGACCAGAGATAAATCCTGGGTGGGACCAACAGTTGGTGGTATTAGTAAAGGAAAAAGGGTAACTCAAACCTTGAGGCCCACAGATAAAAATAAAGGCGTGAAAGGGATCAGATATGGGCTGATATGTATCCTTGGAACTTACGACAGGAGGAATAGCCTTCAACTTCAAAAACTCCTCACTCTACCTCTCCACTTTATTTTTTTTTCACCCTCAGAGACTGAATCCTGTTATAAAGGTGCTATTGCTTTTTTTCCCCCCAACCATTTCTCTTCACTGGTCACACAATACTAGAGCCAATATGGCAAATATTACAGGAAAAATGGTAAATTCTTAACTTATCCCATCTCCAAAGTTGATCCCTAGTCCCTTGTAAGGATCCTAGATCCTCTTCCCCACCGTATTCATTAGATCCCCACCCTACTCAGATAATTTCCCAGTCCTACTGCCTGGTAGATGGGATGAGGGAATTGTCAAACCCCACCGCCAAGGATACTGAAGAATATGTTCCTGGTATTCTAAAATGGAACTGTGAATGTTATTTTAAAAGAAATATTATACATAATGCTCAAATTCATTCCATAACAAGATTCTTCAGGTATATAATACCAAAACAAATAGCTTTTCTTTGCACTGAACTGGAAGCCAATCAGATGTTGTAACATTGTTTATTTGGGAAGATATGTTTTGAGCTCTAAATAACTTACAAATTTTCAGAATATAACCCATTTGTAAGTTTTGGACTTCCTATACTAGATTTCTGTGTTTCTACACAAAGTATCTTAAAAAGCATTTACTACTTTTTGTTGGTTGAGTCATGCGTGACCACAAGCTACAGAAAACATTAATGTATGTTCTGGTTAACATTTGTGTCACACTTCATTCTAGCACTAATGTAAAACCGATGACAAGGTATTTGGGAAAAACTGAGAGCATACACTATTGTTTTATCCTTCACTGTATGCAGGATGATGATTTAACACTCAATCAACTCAGTTCAAACACTGAGAATTCTTTTCTGTCAAATTTTGAAATCATAAATAGGTTAACTTTGACCTTCACACTGTCAATTTCAGTGTGCAACTAGTCACTTTGTGATAGTAATAGTAAGTGAATAATTTTTTCAACCAAATGAAAGACAGAAAGGCTCTGTTTGAAGAAATCTCTTCTAAGTCACTTTACTATCAATATGATTTTATAAATATGCACTACAATCAAAAGAGCATGAGTAATATCTATTTTTTATAATAATCGGTATGGATATCATCTGGCCACAAAGGGCGTCCCAAAAGCCTTTGAGCTTTTAATAAACTTCAATAAACATTCATAGGCTTCTGTCAAGGGCTTGACAGAAATTAGGCTACAGATGAACAGATCTTTAAATAAAAATGAAAACTGGCAAAATCATATTTCTTCAAACCATTAAGGCTCCATGCCACAAGCAGTTATAACAGCAAGTGTGGCAAGAACCGATAAGACTATCATAGCTTAGTTATTTAAAAAAGGCTTCAAATATGCATGGTTGTGATAAATGAAGATTCACATGTCAGTGATCAATCATCTTCCTATATATTGATGTTCTCTTTTGGAATCTGTTACAGATAATTTAGATAGTGTTAAAATTATTAATCTAATTTGCTTTCTACAAAATCCACACACATGAAGAAACTAAGAACCATTTGAAGATATCATGACAATGACAAAGACTCCCTGGAAACTATGCCTAATTCTGTCTGCCTCACTATTTGTACTAAACTTTAAGACAACAACAAAAAAATTATGATTAGAAAATAAATGTCTTGAGATATGATAACTTTGATAAAGAGAAAACAGATTTGGAAATTAAAGTTCTTGGCTACATGCTAATATTCCAATTAAAAATACAAGAACTGGATTATTTAAAAATCCAAAATAGACTCTTACTTTTCTCTTTCTTCAATCTCTTTTTGCCTTTCCAGCTCCCGCTGTCTTTGGCGCTCCTCCCTTTGGCGTTTTACTACCTTCTCATAATCATTAGGGAACATGGGATCATATTCATCAGCTAATGGAATCAAAACTTCTCCTGCAGAAAATCCACTAGGCACAGGATCCTAAAGAAGAGTCAAAATTCCCAAGTCAAATACCAGAATCATATTATGTAACTGTCACCATCCATAACATTCTGTAAATGCAGAATTTTTTTGGCAACCCACTAGAAAAAAAGGGAAAAAGGAAAGAAATACTTTAAATCTTAAAAACTTCTTGTTAGACGAGGTAGCGTAATGAACAGTGAATTGCACTTGCACTCAAAAACCTTGGATTGCATCCTGGCTCTGCCACTAAATGATGTTACTTCACTTTACCTCACAAGTCACTTCATCTCTCTAGGTCCACTTAGTCCTTTGTAAAATGACAGAATTTTACTAGATGATTCCTGAATCCCCCTCGAGTTCCAAAATGCTGTATTTCTAATTCATAAACTACTCAACCACTGCCTAGGTAACACAGTGAATAACTTTACAATAACAACATGAAGAAATTAATTTAATGTGAAGGAAACAATTCTACCTAAAAAAAAAATCCTACATCCCTTCCAAAAAAGGTTACAAGTCTCATATGGATGGATGTGATTCCCATCACATCCAAAGCCAGTTGTGTCCTCTAATTTTTGAGGTCTAAAGATCAAATCTGGTATGGGGGAGCTTCTATCTTCTTTTTTACATATTCAGGAACTGAAACAATTATTTAAGTGGAAGCTCATTCACCCAATGCTACATAAGATGGAAATGAAACAATAAGAGGCAAGGCTAACTGGAAAATATCAAAAATGATACTTTAAGGTTGAGACTCCCTTTCATAGTATGATTCCTAGAAACCCTTTGTAAATTACCTTTTCCTTCTAGTACAAAATTTTAGGTCTGTCATACTAGGGATATTTCCTATGATTTTCCCCCAAAAGGATCTCAAGTGATTTCTACTAACAATTATTCTTTACTAATATTTTTCATTAAAAATAGAATGGAACTTAGGGTACTCAAAAGCTTAATTCAGTTACTATTTTTTTTATTTTATTTATTTATTTATTTTTTGGTAAGGCAATTGGGGTTAAGTGACTTGCCCAAGGTCACACAGCTAGTACGTGTCAAGTATTTGGTCTGAGGCTGCATTTGAACTCAGGTCCTCCTGACTTCGGGCTGGTGCTCTATCCACTACTGCGCCACCTAGCTGCCCCCAGTTACTATTTTAGCGACCCTGCAAAACAAAATGATTTCGATGCCAAAAGTTAAGTTTGTTTTTGTTTGCTACTTGTGATAGACACTTTGTGGGGAGAGAAAGTTAAAATACATAGGGTTACTTCAAAAGGTATATTTTGTACTTAAAGTATAACTTATCATAACGACATAAGATGATGCAGATTCAATCACAGACCTAAATCTAATTCATATTCTTTATCAGACTATTATTCAAGTTAACATTTTTATATCATTGGGCCAATTCATCAGTATTCTTATCATCTAAGACCCTCTGTTTACACTACATAAAAATAATCAGAAAAACAACTAGAAAATCCCTTAACATGTAAAATGTAATGCTCCTAAAAGTGTTAATTATGTATTTAGGTGAATTTAAAAGGCTTAAAAACATAAATTATATTTATATGTACATGCATATATATATGTACATACATGCACACACACATATATATTACTATCTTTTCAGCTACTATTACAGTAGGAAAGAAACTGATGATCAGTCAAACAATTTGCATACTATTATCATCAAAGGTACCTTGGCAACATGTAGGCAAGCTAAAAGTGCTAGTGTGAAGATCAACGTTAAAATATTTTTTGTTACTTAAAAATCTGACAGAAAATAATTCTCAATGTCTAAACTGAGTTGATTCAAATATGCATCCTAAGCACACTAAAGAAAAGCAATAAGGACTAATGGTGTTTTAACTGAAACAAAAACCAAAATGTAAATACCACAGTTCATAAAATATCAACTACTAAACATTAGTAACTGTATTAGTACAGAGCAGTTAGCAATGCTGATGGTTCAGAAAGATTTTGAATATAAAAGAGTTTTCCAGGTGACCTTGTTTATATCACTAATTTACTTAACTTTTACATGCCTTGGGTTTATCTCCTGAAAAATTTGAATAATGATTGCTTTAAAGAAACGTTAATGATGTTAATGATAACTTTAAGAAAAGTTAATGATGATTTCAAGAACTTGGCAAAAAAAAAAAAAAAGAATGGAGTAAAAGCCAGACTACAAAGAAGTAAAATGCAAAATTTTATTGAAATAAGAAAAAAAAAAATCCACAAGCAAGTGAATTGTGGGCTATTTGGTGTTTCTCCCTATGAGCTAGTCTTACCTTTAAGCCTGCTGCTACATGAGGTGGGGTATCTACAATCTGCCGGTCATCTGAAGAGCTCCCTCGTTTCAGATCAATCACTGGAGCAAGGACTGTACTTTGTTTAGTCCTCTGGCTCTAAAGTCAAAAGACAGATATTGTGAAAAATATACTCAAATCTTGAATTCAAGTTCTTACCAATTAAGAAAATTAGTTTTGTTTCTGCAATAACAATTCTTTTGCACCCCAGAAAAACAATCTCAAAATATTAACAATTTATCAGCAATATCTTCATTTAATAGGACTTTTATTCTTATCACAAAAATAACCAGTAATAATCTACCTCAACTCAAAGATTGAGTTTGACCTAATAATTAAAAAACACAACTAGCAGGAATCAGGCACTGGTAAGGGGATAATGATCACCTTCTTTTTTGCCTCCGATCTTTGTCCTTTATTTTTTTTATCCACAAATAAAATGGAAATTTTATAATATCACTCTCTCTGGAAGCTCACCATATTTTTGCAATCTTTCAAACATACAAACTGTGGCAATTTTCACTCAGTTAGGTCCTAAATGTCTTTAAATTATACAAAGAGCACTAGAAATATGGTGATCTTGTGGAAAGAACACTGGAATGGGAAATCAGTAGATCTAGTTTTGAGGGCAGGATCTAAAAATGGGGTAAACCACTTGTATGTCTAAGCCTCAGTTTTCACATCTGTAAAATGGAAAGATTTTCACTAAATACCTCAAAGTGAGGAAAGAACTTTACTAAACTGCAAAATGCCATATAAATGTGAGCTAATTAACAGAAAATAAGATGAGTGCATTATTCTAACCCAATACACTAAAACTCTTATACTACGACTATATAACAAATAAAATCTTAAAATACGGTCAAGAATAATGATATGGAACTCAAATAGAAATTGATCCCAGAGGGCAAAATATTGACTTAGAAAACTACAAGTTAACATCACATAGGCTGTATTATATTTTTATTTATTTTGGTAAACATTTTTCAATTACATTTTCATCTGGTTCAGGTGCACTTGAGAGTTTCATGGCTGGAAGTTTGACCCTCTGGTCAAAAACATCTTTGTTATATGCAACAATGCTTAAAATATTCACATAGATTTTTCTTTAACTTTTTCCACTAAAAGGATATGATTTTTATGTAGCTAGTTTTATCTAATAAAATAATTTTACTGATGTAAATAAAACAAACCATATTTCTATAGGTGAACTCAACATAGCAATCCAGAGGAAAAGACTAAAAAACAATGTCCACATTCAACATAGCAGATCTGAATAGCAACATTTTAAATACTTAGAATGATGATGTCAGTCTTTCTTTTTTTTTTTTTTTAAAGGCAATTGGGGTAAAGTGACTTGCCCAGGGTCACACAGCTAATAAGTGTCAAGTGTTTGGTCTTAGACCGGATTTGAACTCAGGACCTCCTGAATTCAGGGCCGGTGCTCTATCCACTATGCCATCTAGTTGACCCTTAGAATGATGTATGTCAATCTTCATCTTTCTTCTGAGGATTTTACCAATTTTTTTTCTAATAACACTTTTTTTTAGGCAATTGGGGTTATGTGACCTTCCCAGGGTCATACAACTAGCAAGTGTCAAGTGTTTAGTCTGAGGTCGCATTTGAACTCAGGTCCTCCTGACTTCAGGGCCAGTGCTCTACCCACTGCACCACCTAGCTGCCCTATACAATTTTTTTTTTATCTGTAACTCTTACTGAACTGAGGGTTGGTTTACTAAGCAGAAAGTTGAATTTTCATGTAGCATCAAAAAATGTGTCAATTACTAAATTTTAGTAAGATTATAATCACTTTGCAAAGCAAAGCAAAATGACTTCACGAAACTGATCTGAGAGGATACTAACATAAGGATATAAAGGATTCACAGAATCAGAACTTAAAGTAACCTTAGTGTTCACACAATCTAATGCCTTACTCAGTAAATAAAATCCCTTTACAAAATCCTGACAAATAATCTATCAGAATCTGCTCAAATACTTCCAGTGACACTGGATTAATTGGGTTGTGAAACTATCCACTCCATTTCCAAATATTTCTATAACTGCTACGGAATTCTTCCAAATTTTTGGCACAAATCTGCCTATCTGTAACTTCTACCAATTGTCAAATATTAAGATACTTCAAATCTTAAAAGTTGTGCTCTCCCAAGTCTTCTCCAGGCTAAGTATCAATAAGTCCTTCAAACATTGCTCATTAAAATTTAAGTATAGGAATTTTAGAGTAGGAAGGGACAAAGAGAAAAATTAAGAGACTACAGAGTTTTGAAAAGCGTAACAAATCTGAACTCTTAATTCAATTACAAACCTTATAAAGCAGTTAAAAGGAAATCCAAGCAGATTTGGTTAAACAAATTTTTTTTCCCAAAATGAATTTTTAAGCAAACATATTTGATGGTTAGGTTAAAAACGAAACCATCTCCACTTGCCATCAAATTACATAAAAATTAGTTACCAGTAAACTGGATTTTTACTTGTTAAAAATAACAAAAAAGTCTAAACAAAGTATTAGTTCATATTGGGGAAAGGATTTATGTATTCTTTAAAATTTAACTTATTTTATCTTTTTTCAATTAACATTTTCTTTCCCTCCTACTGTCCCCAGAAAAACGAAATCTTTGTTTGAAAATATATATATTTATGTTTATATATGTAGTCAAGCAAAACATATTCCTACATTAGCCACATCAAAAAACATATGCCTCATTCTACATCTTGAGTCCATCAGTTCTGTTTTCATGAGGTGAGCAGTATACTTCATCACTGGTACCCTGGAATCCTGATTGGTCATTATATTGATTAGTGTTCTTAAGTATTTCATAGTTGTTTATCTTTAGAGTGTTGTTATTACAGAAATTATTTTCCCATTGTCCTTATTTTACTCTGTGTTGGTCCATATAAAACTTTCCAGGTCTCTTTGAAACCATCAAATTCATTTCATTTTTTAATGGAGAAATAATATCCCATTATATTCGTGTACCATAACTTGTTCAGTCATTCCCTAATTGACTGGCACCCCTTTTGTTTCCAGTTCTTTGCCATTACAAAAAGAGTTGCTATACATCTTTTTCTACACATATCCATGGATCCTTTTTCTCTTTCTTTAAATTCTTCGGGGTATAAGCCTAGGTACTGCTGGGTCAAAAGCAATGGATTCTGGGGACACAGCTCAAAATTGTTTTCCAGAGAGACTAGATCAAATTACAGACCTACCAACAGTGCATTAATGTGCCTGTTTTTCAAGCACACTATATTTTCCAATATATTTCATTTTTCTCTTTTGTCAGTTTTAACAGTTTGTTATGTGTGAGGCAGAACCTAAGAGTTGCTTTAATTTGCAGTTTTCTGATTATTAGTGATTTAGGTGCATTTTTCAAATTGCTGTTATACCCCTAATGTACCAAATCTTGAATAATGGGGAGCATACTGTCAATACAATATGAAGAGTAACAGAACTAGTATCAAATCAGTCAACAAGCATATATTAAACATCTACTATCTGACAGTGGATTTATAAAGTCAAAACTGAAAAAACGTCCCTATTCTCAAGAAGCTTACATTCAAAGGGGAAAACAATAGGAACATTTAAGACATATAAATACTGAATTCAGGAGAAGGCACCAGCAGCTGAGAGGATGAAGAAAACCTCATGGAGAGAGGTGATGAACTGAGTTTTGAATGAAACAAGGGATTCCAAGAAACAGTGGCAAGAGGGAAAAGCATTTCAGGTCACCCTTATATCAGAAATAAAGCAATCTGCTTTCTTCATGGCTCAAAACAACATAGCTTCTACTGAAGGAATCCTGGTGACAGTGCTAGAAGTTGTCTTTCCACTGCCTCACAGCACCACACATTCTAAAATCATAGCAGGGACTAGGGAAGTAAATTGGTTCTGGACTTGACTACAACTATACTTCACACCCACAAGCCCAATCACAAAGGAAAAAAACATCTGCTATAGCCAAACCATTTGTGATCCTGAGGGTAACCAGCCCTATACTGTACATGTCTGACTTGTTCCCAGTTATTACCTTTACCTTTGCTTGGGTTAAAGCTGCCTTCTTGACCTGTAGCTGAGACTGTAGCAGTTTGAAATTTTTGGACCAGCCTTCTGTTTTTGAATCACTGGTCTCCACTCCCAGGTCATCATACAAGGACATCTTTTCTTCTTTTTAAAGCTAAAGGACAAGAGGGGGGAAATGGAAGTTACAAGACAGCATGTATATGAATACGAGGCAAAGAGCTGTTAAGCTTCCAGATCTTTGGATCTTGACAAAGAGTTCAGCCATCAAGAAACTGACAATCATAGTTCCAATGCTAATATATCTTAGAATCAATAAACACAGAATTCTGGAGCTAGAAGGAACATCAGAGATCTAGTCCAAACTCCCTCACCTTACAAATTAGCAAACAGTGACCCAGTGAGGTCAAGTGATTTGTCCAAGATTACAGTCTATGAAGCTAAGAGAGGCCAAAGCCCAGGTTACCTCAGTTCTAGTTCTGTACTCTTTCTCCTACACCATGTGGCCTCCTTTGTGTGCCATTTTTGTAAATACTTTTAGACAATTCCGTGTGTATTGCTCGTGGGAAATTTGTGATGAGTGATTCATAAGTGAATTTTTCTTGTTTCAGAGCATACAGGTATAAAGCTAAATTCTGAATTCAACTATCATTAAATATTTAAACATTTGTGTCTCAAATTTTATTTTTACTGCAATGTTAAAAATCAAAAGACAACCCCTCCCTTAGTCTCTGTCACAAAGGCTATACATTAATGTTTAAACATGAAGCTCTAACAGAAACCCACCAACCACTCGAACATAAGCTCCTAGAGAGCAGAGACTGCTTCATTCTCAACATCAAGCATAAAATAAGTGATTAATAAATGCTTACGAAATGACGGAATTGCAGATATCAAGGGAGCTCCAACATTGAAAAAGAAATTGTGTTTCAAAGTTTGCTGGAATTTGGGACACATTTAAATGTGTTATAATGGTGGTTAAAATCTAAGGTTCAACTCACAAATGTGCATAATGTAGCACTAATACCAGTAGTCAAAGCTCTGTGTCCTGGAAACAAGGGACCATGTGTTACAGAAGGGAAAAAAAGAAAATTATCTCTCTTCTTGGATGCAGAGTCCAACATAAGAAAAGAGAGGGGCTCCAGGCCTATATCCCTACTTTGTTCTTTTTCTCACCCTAAACATAACATTTTCAAAAGCCTCAGGTGATTCTGGCCTTTAGCTTTCCTGATACATTCGTCAAGAAACATATGACATTTTAGTGTTCATTTCAGTTATGTATCTTTCCTTTCATCTTTTGTACTTTTTTTTAAAACATATCAGTTCATTCATATGAACATATAAGCTGAGGGTAGTTTTTTTCTCCTGTACTATCATGACCTCTAACATCACATGTTCACTCTCTCCCAAGGCTTCTGTTGCTTCTACTTCTTCTGGCTAGTCAGAATCCGGTACAGAAGAAAAATTCATTTCATAGCTTTTACCTTCTCAAAGCTGAAATTATCAACAAGGTAAAAAACTAACAAATGTTCTAATTTTAGTAGAAACAGGCCTGCCCCTCCCTTCCTTCTTATAACTATATCCTGCCTATTCTGTGATCTGTGTCAGGACTTGGGGTGCAGGGGTACGAGAGCCATCTTTGAGTACTGTAAGCTGCCATGTAGGAGAACTGGACTTGTTTTTCTTGGTCCAAGAGGGCTGAACTGGGACCAATGGGCAGTTTCAAAGAAGTGAATGGAGGTTTGAAGTGAGAAAATACTCTCCTCCCCCCCGCCATGCCCCCCCCCCTCCCCCCCCCCCCCCCCCCCCCCCCCCCAGCAGCTGGAATCTCATCTAAGAACAGAATGGATAGTATCACTGTAGATCTTCAGGCATGGACTATAGGTGTAAGTTGGACTCAGTCATTTGTGGGGTTTCATCCAAGACTGCTTCTGTGAACTCATCATCCATTTTCTCTACCTGACTGGGCATTTTGAAATATACTCCTAAAATGTATCACTTGTTCTTACTATTACTTTTTTCTGTTCCCAAATATTTCTTACCATTTTTCACCTCTTGTATTCAAGGTTTTCCACACCACTGTATATATTTTGGACATGCAATGTTTTGTCCCTTTTGTCTAATCTAGTTTTTTAAGCACAGTTCCTGGCACAGAGTAAGAACTTAATAAATGCTCACTGATAGATTTAGAATAAAGTTTATCATTTCCTCTCAAGATTCATAATTGAGTTAGGATTTCTATCCCACCAAGTCTCATTTAAGATTTTGGGGAATCCCATTATTTCTTTGTGTTAAGATAACAATTTCACATTTATCAACTATACTATAACCACATGAACATAAACCTCTGAGGACATGAATATCATTTCTCTCTCTTTTCTCATCTTTTTTTTGAAGCTTGTATTACTGAGTAGTTTCTAATGTTAGTTTTAGGTCACATCTTTATTACATGATAAGAAGTGTTCCCTCTAAATGCCAAATTTAACAGTTATAAGGGCACCTTTTTCCTCTTCTCTATTTTCACTTTCCAGGACTCTCTGCATTAGACTGGCAAGTCTCCGGGAGAACACATTTCTTACGTGTTCTCACCAGATTCACAAAACAGAGAATCTCGAATTTGTAAGAGATCTCAGAGTTAATCTAGCTCTACCCACAAGCCTATAATCACAAGTGACATGGGGCAAGAACCTTAACGTATTAGATAACCAAACGATCTTCATCTGACATAATAGAAATAAACATCTTCAAGCATTTTAGGTTAAAACAAACAAACCAGTTATTCTTAAAGCCTAGGAGGAAAAGAATAAAAGGAGAACTTCAGATATCCAGTAGCTCTTTCCCACAACCTTCAATCTATTAACTATGTACCTTCACAAAAGTAAATCAACAGGATGCTCTGCAGGGCTTTACCTGTGAATTCTATTCTACCATTTTACTTAAAGATGGTTCTATGAACAAGTCAGTTTGATCTATCTCAATACTTTTTCAAACTCCTGGATCCTTTATGGCTTTCTGGCTAGACTATAAGCTCCTTGAGGTCAGGGACTGTTTTTGCTTTTGTCCCCAGAGGCTAGCACCCGGAGATGCTTTCGTCTGGCACTTAATAAATGTTTGTTGATCAAGTGGCCCTACTAAATTCAAGTCATTATGTTGGGTTCTGGAATAACTTAAAAAAAAAAAGGCTAAGACAAATACAATTAAATATTAACTACACACCTCTAATAGCAGGGGAAAAAACTTATAAAAGGTCTACTAATAAATAAGAAATCTGTATCTCAGTTTGGAAAGTATCCAAAGTCAAATTTTTATCTCAAGACCCTCCTGTCACTAAACAGCTCCTTCTTTTCATATATATTATAAAGGGAAAATGTCTATTTCCTTGAACCTAAAAAAAACATATAGAGAAAAACAAAAAACCAACGTTCATAAAATATGTTGCTACATGAAACACATGCTGTTTCATGTCCAATAATCAATAATTTCTTAAACTGAAGACATAAAGATTGCATACAGTAACAGCAATACTGTTTTAAGAACTAAGCAAATAAGTTATTTTGTCTATTATAAATAACCAAATTAACCATAAAGGATATATGAAGAAAGACACTATCTGCACCCAGAGAAAGAACTGATAAATAGATGTATAGAATAATTTTATATATACCTATTTGTGTCTAATGAGGGCTGGGGGGGGAAGGAAAAAAAGAGAAATTTACATAATAATTTTCTGTATATTTGAAAGAAATAGCAAGTTATGCATAGTAGAGATGCAGTTTCCTGTATAACTATCTTTTTATTGTACTGTTATGTAAATGCTTGTTTTATTCCATAAATTAAAAATAAAATAAAAAAAACTGAAGACACAGAAATTTCTTGCACCTCCTGGCATCCCTACATGTGTTGCATTTTAAAGCAAAAAAAATATTTTAAACAACCCACTTAAAGTTTTCAGTTCACTCAAACTCAGTGACACCACTACTACCAAAATAACAGGATAAGATGGCTAGCACACTGAAAAAAGATTTAAAAAAAAAAAAGCAGTTCAACAAACCAAACAGAATACATACTGCATTTGACAATATAATAATCCACATTCATAGTCTAATTCCTCTACAATGACATAAGGGAGGTGCATTTTCTTAACTCTTCTACAAGACCAACCTTGGTCATTATAATTACACAGGATTCACTTTAATTGTTCTTTCTTTTCCACTGTAGTATTTGTGTATACTGTTTTCCTGGTTCTACTTACTTTTCTCAATTCATGTTTGTTAATAATAATTACTAACAAATAATCCTAAACTGGGTGATATCTGTGAGCGTAGAAAAGGGAGGAAATGTTTTAGCAGCAGAAAAGACAAAGTCGATAACTGATCAGACATATCAGATGAATAAGATGGGAGAGGTGAGGATGTTAATAATTTGTTAATTTATTTTGTTTCTTAATAATAATAGCTAGCATCTGTATAACATTTTAATGTTTCTAGGCACTTTACATGTGGTATCTCTTTGGTCTTCACAACAATCCTGCAAGGTAGGTACCACCTTATCCCCATTTCACATATGAGGAAACTGAAAGCAAAGGAGGTCAAATGACTTGGCCAGGGTCACACAGTTAGTAATCTTCTAAGATGGGATTTGACCTCAGGTCTTCCTGATTCCAAGTCCAGCACTCTATGAACCTAGACATGTAACTGCTTATGTTAACAACAACATTACAGAATAGTAATATTGCATTACATTAATGTACATCAATCTGTTCATCTATTCTCAACTGACAGGCACCTATTTACAGTGCTTTGCTACCATGAGAAGCACTGGTAGGAACATTTTCTATATATGAGACCTTTTGGTCTTTGACTTCTTTGGGGCCTAGTAGTGCTATCTGTAGGTAAAAAGGTGTGGATATTTTGCCATTTTTTTTTAAAAGTCATAATTCCAAATGGCTTTCCAGAATGACTGACCCAGTTAATGGTATCAGTAAGAGTATATTAGTGTGTCTGTTTTTGGAAAGTGCCAATTGTTAGGAAATCATATGTATCTTGCAGCTCCCACACACTACAGCTCATTGATCACACCTCCTCCTCTGCTCCAAGTCTTCTTTTCTCCAGGCTTAATAATCCCACTTCCTTCAACTAATCTTTACATGGCACTGCACTGGAGACTGCCTTTCAGGTTGATGGCTGATTCGACCTGAGATGTGGGCACAGAGCTCCAAATCCATCTCACTGAACTATCATTCCTGAGATTTCTGTCATATGCTTTGATGAATGTAGGCACACTATATAGCATTTCCCTCATCTACCAACCCAACAACTGTTTTTAAAAAATTAGTCTGGTATGACATGTTCTTGAAGAAGCCACACTGACTTTCTGAGATTCCTTCTTCCTTATTGAGAAATTATTCATCCTCCTTAACATGTTCTAGAATCGTATCAGGAATCAAATCCAAGCTCATTGGCTTATACTTTGCAGAGTCCACCCCCTACCCCTTTTGACAATCACAATGTCCTATGAGCCCCTTACCCAAGACATCTAAAACTCAACATGTCCAAACTCATTTTTCCTTTCAACCCTTTTCAAAGACACGACCACCTTTCCAGTCACTTGAGTTCAAAACCTTGGTGTCATCATCACCTCTCCATTCTTATTCACCTCATATGTTTGATCAGTTATCCACTTTGTCTTTTCTACTGCTAAAATACTTCCCCCCTTTTCTACACTCAAACAGACATCACCCAGTTTAGGCCCTCATCAGCTCTTGCCTGGATTATTCTAACAGCCTCCTAACTGGTTTCCCTGCCTCAAGACACTCCGACTCCAAACCATCCTTCACTCTGCTGATCAAATGAGATATTTGTAAATCACTTGGCACAGTGCCTGGCACATAGCAAGGCGCTTAATAAATGCCTTTTCCCTTCTCTCCTTCAAAGCCTATGTCTAACAGTATCACTACCTTGGTCCCTACTCACCTGCTGCGGAACAAAGTTAGAGAAAATTACCAAACTGCGCTGAGTTCACTACAAATTAGTTACATAATCTCAACTGGAATCCCACTGAAGCAAGGCAATCCTTTTCTATCCCAGTCACAACAGAAGCTTTTCCAAACTTTTTCATCATTCCACAGGCCCCACAGCTCCCCTCCCCCACCTTCTCAGCTGAGAATCTAATATTTCACTGAACTTTTTTACTTTCTTGGTCCAGGGACCAAGGTTCCAACTTAGGAGTCATCTTGGACTCCTCACTCTCATTTCACCCCATTTCTCCCCATAGCCAATCTGTTACCAAGTTCTGTCATCTATACCTCCAAAGCATCTCTGGAATAGGCCCCCTCTGCTCCTGACACTGACACCCTTCTCTTTTGGGCCCTCATCTCCTCACAACTAGACTATTGCAATAGGCTGCTGGCTAGGTTCCCTGACTCAATCTCCACATTTCAGTCTACCCTCTACTCAGCTGTCAAACTGATCTTCCTTAAGTACATGCCTGGCCATGTTAACTCCCTATTCACTGAAATCTGGTGGCTCCCTATTACCCCCAGCCTTTGTTTGACTTTTAAAGCCCTTCATAACCTGGACCCTTCCTACCTTTCCTGTCTCCTTATACCTTACTCGCCACATCCCTCCCCACCCTCACCCCAAGTAATCTACAGTCAAGTGACACTGGCTTCTTTGCTGTTTCTCAAACAAGACACTCCATATTTTTGTATTCCTAAATCATAGTACTGTCTCTGGCACATAACAAACATTTAATAAATGCTGGCTGATTACATTCCTTAAACCCTGAAAAACCGTGCCTGTCCTCCTGGAAGATAACACTGTAGAGTGGCCGCTAAGCAATAACATTGGTCAATTCTTTCAGTACTCTAAGATGTAATTATTTGAGGTCTGGTAACTCAAAATCATCAAGGTAAGCTAACTGCTCTGTAACTTTCTCCTTATTTACCTTTGATTAATCACCTCCCTATTGGTCATTTTTGTCCTTTTCTTTCCAATGCAAAGATCATTTTCCTTAGTAGAGAAAACACGAAAAATAAGAGTATGGCAGCTCTGCTTTCTGTTGGTGGCTATCATTTCTTTTACTCTGAGCACCTGGTACTTTTTTGATCTTCTTTTTCCCAAATATTATAAGCTCCACCAGCCCTCCCTGTTTGCTGCTGCTGTTCTTACCTTTCTTTGCCTATCTTCTCTCATCCTGAACTTTAGCAATCCTGACACTATTTTTAAAGTTTAGCATCTATTCTCCTACCAGCCCATGCAGACATCTTCCATGTGTTTTAGTTCTCTGCACACACGTGCCATTCTTCGTGGTATGTCTCTCCTTTCCTTCTCATCAGAATTATTTCTTTGTGTTTTCATAATTCATTCTTTGTTGCTTCTGATAGTTCCTAGTCAGATTTTTCAGGTAAAATTTTAGTCTGTGGGATCCTACCCATCCTTCCTCAGAAAACTTTGAAATCAACTCTCCCCAAAACAAGAGTACATGTCAAACTATGCCCAGCTTTCCTCACCTAATCTATCATAAATACTAAAATGGAATAGCCACTTTGTCCAAGATTCCCATCATTTCCACCCTAACAACCAATTCCTTTCACTAGTGACTTCACTTTTTGAAAAAACGAAATGATGGCTTTAGTCTCCCACCAATTTTGTAACATGCCTCGGCACCAGGATAGTGATCTGTTTCTGAAAAGAAGAGTCTCTGAAAGGGAAAAAGGGGGAGACAGAAAGAAGAGGAAGAGGAAGGCAGAATGAGAAAGGAGAGGAAGAAAGAGAAATGTAAAGAGAGAAAGAAGGAAGAAGGTCAAAGAAAGAAAAGAGGAAGGGGGGGTCAGGGAGGGTAGTAGGAAGTCCGGAGAAGGGACAGAAAGAAGGGGCATTAGAAGGGGGTGAGGGGGGTAGCAGGAAGGATAAGAGTAAAGAATAGGGTCCTCTCTACTCTTTGAAGGGGTAAAGGGAAGAGTAGCAAGAAGCCGGTGAAAGGGAGCTAGGAGAAAAGGGATCAGAGGAAAAAAAAGAGGAAGGGGTAGCAGGAAGGAGTCAGAGAAGGGAGGAGGAAAGATGCCAGAGAGGGAACAGCAGGAAGGCATGAGATAGCTGGAAGGGGGTCACAGGGTTGACTGCAGGAAAGGGAGGTGGGTAAAGAAAGGAGAAAACAGGGAGTAAGGAAAAGAGAGTGAGAGGAAGGTAGTAGGCAGGAGGTGATAGGAAGGTTGTAGGAAGAAGTGGGAGTGGGATAAGGGGGAGTTAACAGGAAAAAGGTTGGGGGGGTGGTAAGAGAAAGAGAGAAGGGGAGAAGCAGAAAGGGGATGGAGGGTAACAAGCAGGGGGTAAAAGGAGGGCAGTAAGGGGACTGAGGGAGGGGGTTGCATGAAAAAGCTAAAAGCGGCATACTCCTCACTCTTAAAAGAAAGAAAAGGGGGAACAAGGAGGTGAGATCAGAAGGGTAGCAGAAAACGATGGGGGCAGTAGGAGGGGGTCGGGAAGGAGATGCAGGCAGGGGGTGAAGGCGGGCTGGTCCGAGGGGGTGGGAGGAGGCAGCGGGAGGGGGCTGGGGGGTAGCGGGAAGAGGCCAGGAGCAGAGCACTCTCAGAAGGGAGGAAAGAGGAGCACAAGGAGGCGATCAGAGAGACGGGAGGAGGGGCCAGCAAACACCTCGAAGGAGACCGAAGGGTCCGAGGCGACAGGTGCCTGGAGCCTGGGGCGCCTCGGCCGCAGGCGGCCGGCCAGTCTCCCTCGGCCCCTCCGCAACGCGGCCTACAGCCGGCCCGGGGCAGGGGGCCGGGGACCGGCGTTCTCGCTCGGGCCAAGCCTGCGTGGGCCTCGGGGAAGCGGGGCGGGGGTAGGTCGGGGAGACCAGGCGCGGGGCGACCAGGCGCGGGGCGGGGGCGAGGGGCTGGAGGGGTTACTTACCCGGGGGGCCCGGCTGACTTTCCCCATGGGCCGGAGCAGCAGCGGCGGCGGGGCTAGAGGGGGCCCGGGGCTGCTGAGCCGAAGTGCGCAAGCTCCGCACCTCCACCAACCGCGTAAGGGTAGAGCGGCCCCGGAAGCGAGGCGGGAGAAGGATTTTTAACGCAAATGGCGTAAGCGTCAGGAGGCGCTGGACCGCGATCTGTACGAATCCCTGCGCCAAATACGTAGAAGAGCCGTGGCTCGCGGTCTGCGCCAGGGAGAGAGGGGCAGGGGCAGGCGGGAGGAGCGGGCGTCTGGTTGTCGGGCGACGTCTATCGGTCGGAGGTCGGGAGCACTTCTCACTCCCTCCTCTCCTTCCCCTTCTCTTGCTCCATCCGAGCACAACATTCTGAGCTTTGGGAAGGGACCCTCCGGCGAGCTCCGTCCCCAGCTGCGCAGGCACGCGTTCAGCAGGCCATGCGATCCCAGATGTAAAACTAATCTGGCCTCTTTCCTTCTCTTTCTGATGGTTTTAGCAGTCACCTCGTCCAACACCCCAATTTCCCAGTTCTCAGAAACTGAGTCCATGACTTGCCTAGGGTCACACAGCTAATAAGTGTCTGAGGCAGGCTTAGAGCATAGGTCTTTATGACTCATTTGAGGAGGACGATGCTGAAGGAAACACAGGCTGGATTTCCAATCTGTAGGGAAGAGAAATAACCCCATTGCCATTCACGGGTTATGCCCACACTTTTCCTATTTCTACAAACAGTGACTTTACTTGGGACCACAGTTTTTGGTCTCAGGTTTTCCTTTAACTTTTTAGGATGTAGTGATATCCTTTGCATATTTTTCTTTAAATCTGGCTGCCTTCTTTTCTTAAGGCAGCAAGATTAGGCCACTTTGCAACCAATTTTTCTGCAAATCAGCCGCGGGAGGGAGGAGCTGTGCTGTAGGATCAACCTCCAGGCAGCAGGGGGCGCTGTGGGAGGCAGAGCAGGAGAGGAGACTGTCTAGCTCCTTGAGTGGGGGCGGGGCTTTGATTCCTCCAGCCTGTATCTTCTCTCTTGGGGCGGGGTCTCCCCAACCTGTCCTCATTCTCCTGGTCGACCTGCTGTTAACTCCTGTGTCCCATGTAGTTTTCACTTATTTCCTGAAACAGAACTCTGGAAAACCAGGCTTTGATAAAGTCCATTGAGTGTCAAATGGAGCCCCTTGACCAAGCCTTAAACTCAAATCACTCTGACTCTTGCTGATTGACCAATAATAGATCCTTCGTGGTCATTATTTGGGCTCTGATGGCTCAGCGTGAGTGTAAATAGCAATTGTTTCTGTTCTGGCCAGAAACGTCCCCCTCCCAGAATGATTCTTTTGGGAAAGCAAACTAGGCCGTCATTTGCCTCAGTTCTTACCTACCCTTTGATTACTGATTGGGCATTGCCTCAGACGAACTGAGACCTGAGAAAGACCCAAAAAGGCCAAGATTTCCCACTGCATCAAGGTCATCTCCAGTCATCCCAACCTGTCTTGCCACTGAACTACCATGTCTCCGAGGAGAGAGGGAGGCTGACCTCGCACAGTCCTGTCTCACTTAAATCCCATTCACTTGCAAGTCAAGACATTATCCTCCTGATGTCATTGGTCCTCTTCAAGAGCTAAGGACAAACAACAACAGTGTCTTCCATTCAACTCATGGGCCTTTCAGTAATAATAATAATAATAATAGCTCAGGTTGGCTTATAATTTTAGTGCTTTTCTCATGGAAGTCCTGTGAGACAGGTAGCATAAATATTATAGTCTCCATTTTATAGGTGAGGAACCCAAACCCAAAGAGGAGACTAGTAAATGTTTCCTCAGTTCTACATTTTGTAGGTAATATAGGCTCTGAAAAACTTGAGAGGCTGGCAAGGCAATCAATCAACAAGTATTTGTGCTTAACTATGTGCCAGGCACTGTGTTAAAGGCTGGGGATTACAAAGCAAGACGAAAACAGTCCCTCAGGTCAAGGAGCTCGTAGTCCAATGGGGACAATGTGTAACTAACTAGGTAGATAAAAGATAGGAGACAATCTGAGAGGAGAAGGCACTAGCACCTGGGAAGACTGGCAAAAGCTTTCTGGAATCGATGGGATTTGAAAGTCTTAGAAGAAGCCAGGGAAACTATGAGTCTTAAGCAAATTGGGAAAGTGTTTCAGGCTAGTGAAAAGTCATTGGGATATGGAGTATCCTGTTCAATGACCAAATAGGCCAGAAGAGTGGGTGAAGGGCAATAAAGTTTAAGAAGAACAGAAAAGTAGGAAGCAGTCAGCTTAGGGAAAAAGCTTTAATTGCTAGACAAGAGGACTTTGTATTTGATCCTGGAGGCAATAGAGATCCACTGGAATTTTTGGAGTAGGAGGGTGGTCAGACCTCCACTTTAGAAAAATCATTTTGGCAACTAAGTGGAGGATGGATTGAAGGGATCACAGACTAGAGGCAGGGACCTCAGTTAGAAAACATCCAGTTAAGAGATGTTCAAAAGACAGATGGTGTCTGTTCAAAAGACACCCAGTGTCCAGTCCTAGTTTCTCTCAGGAGGGGGAAATGGGAACTCTTGGCAAATGGTCTCAAATTTTTCAGTGACAGTGATAGGATAGTCAGTTTGGGGGAGTGGGGGTAAGGGTAGGGTGGAGAGGGTACCATGGAAGACTGGAGGAAAGATGAGAAGGTTTGGAACAGCTGTTTTGATGATGAGATAGTAACTTGGTTAAGGAGTAGAAAGATTGCTTTGCTGTATTTAAAAGGAGTTATTATCCCCAAAGTTCAGCCCTCAGGCATACAGTCTGTTGAGGCAAAACAGAAAAGGATTCCCTGCCCCCTCCCCCCCCAACTTAACCTGTGTCCATATTTGTTTGTTTTTCCAAAGAATGTAAGCTCTATAAGAGCTGGAACTTTTGTTTTTGTGCTTATTAAATTTCTGCAGTTAAACATGCCTGTGTTAAGTAATAGGGATACATAGACAGAAAAGAAAGAAAGAAAGAAAGAAAGAAAGAAAGAAAGAAAGAAAGAAAGAAAGAAAGAAAGAAAGAAAGAAAGAAAGAAAGAAAGAAAGAAAGAAAGAAAGAAAGAAAGATTGGATTGAAGGGATTGGAAAGATGGATTGAAGGGATCACAGACTAGAGGCAGGAACCTCAGTTAGAAAACATCCAGTTAAGAGATGTTCAAAAGACAGATGGTGTCTGTTCAAAAGACACCCAGTGTCCAGTCCAAAGAAAGAAAGAAAGAAAGAAAGAAAGAAAGAAAGAAAGAAAGAGAAAAAAACAGTCTGTGCCTTTCAACAGCTTACATTCTGGGGGGCAGGAGCAGGAAAGGGTATACTACAGATAAGTGAATATACAAATATATACAAAAACCCCCAAAGTAACTTCAAGGCAGAGGAAATACTAAGTAGGAAAACTAGGAAAGGCCTTCTCTCGTAAGAAGTAGCTGTTCAGGGGGCAGCTAAGTGGCACAGTGGATAGAGCACCTGCTCTGGATTCAGGAGGACCTGGGTTCAAATCCGGCCTCAGACACACAACACTTAACTACCCGTGTGATCCTGGGCAAGTCCCTTAACCCCACTGCCTAGCCCAAAAAACAACAACAACAAGTAGCTGTTGAGCTGAGTCTGAAGGAAGATGAGAGGCAGACTTGAAGGAGACCATTACAGGTATGGGGATGGGATGGGGTGAGAGGAAAAGTCTTTTTTTAAGGCGAAGAAACAGCAACTGGAACATCCTATTGCGTAGAATCCGTAAAGGCGAGTAAAATGGAATCAGCCTGGAAAGACAGATTTGAGCCAGATTTTGGAGGGCAATACCCGATCCACAGAGGTGTTTGTTTTTTATCCTCCTAGGGGCAATAGGAAACTACTTGAGCTTGCAGTGACCCAAGTAGGTCTGTACTTTAAGAATATCAACCTGGCAGCTAAGTGGAGGATGGACTGGAAAAGTGAGAGACTGAAGCGCAAGAAACCAATTAAGAGGCTATTTATTGTCAAATAGCCAACGCAAGAAGTAATGAGGCTTGAACTCAGGTGGTCTTGGATGAATAGAGAGAGGAGCAGAATGGAGAGATATGTGTCAATAGGAAATCACACCTTCACGAAGCTTACATGAAGACTAGGTTTTTTACAAAAGGAATGAAAGTGCATGTGGAAATCAAAGCTGGAGCACAGAATTCACAGTTCTTACAGAAGTTTAAGTTTTTATGATAACAGGACAAAGGGAGGAGGGGATGCCAGAAAGGGGTGTGATATGAGAGGGGGACAGCAAAGGTGGGAAGAAGGACAAGATGACGCCCAAGGGGAGGAGCAAGGCCAAGGCAAAAGTCACATTCTTTTCCCTTGGAAACTGCTAGACTAGGAAGGCAAGGAGGGTCTGCTTATCTGCAAAGGACCCCAGCTGCATAAGCATTGTCCCAGCCTGGCACAGACTGGCTGGTACCTGTCTTGACTCTCAAGGACACACTGGGAGTCCAGCTTGGGGTGCATCTACAAATTAGGTCAGCTTTGTCCTTCACACATTCAGGGCTACCTGCATGCTCTGGGTCCAATGTTTCTGGAAAATATGGCAACTCAAAAAGATAAGTTCAGGGGACCCCTTAACAGCCCTTAACACATAGTAGAGGCAGACTCAGTAAGACCTTTCAATGGATTGGCTATGGTAGAGAAAAAGGAGAGTAGTTGTGAACGGGGGTGGCTGGAAGGACACTCTTCCATTCAGTGACACTGGCCTCCTTGTTGCCCTTTGAACAACTAACCCAATGCATCTCTGGACTCTGGGCATTTTCATTGACTATCCCCCACGCCTGGAATTCTCTCCCTTCTCATCTCCACCTACTGATTTCTTTGGCTTCCTTCAAGTCCTTGCTGAAATCCCACCTTCTATAAGGAGCCTTTCCAGATTCTCCTTAATGCAAGTGCCTTTCATTATCTTCCATAATCTGTTATCATCAATTTATCTTGTTCATATCTTGTTTGTACATGGTTGTTTGCTGTTGTTTTCTTAGACTAAGTACCTGAAAAGCAGGAACAGTCTTTTGCCTTTCTTTGTATCCCCAATGCTTAGTAAAGTGCCTGGCACATAGTAGGTGTTTCATAAATGTTTACTGACCAAATGATTGTAGTGCCCCTAGTAGAAAATAGGAAAGGGATTGGTTGGAAGGGTTTAATGATTTCTGTTTTCAACATGTTGAGTTTGGGATGACTATGAGATACACACACGGAGATGTCTAGCAGGCATTTGGTAATTCTAATCTAGGAGTCAGAAGAGATGAGGGCTATATATGTAGATTTGGGAATCATCTTCATAGAGGGATGATAGGTAAATCCATGGAAGTTAATTAGATCATCAAGAGTCAATCTGTCAACACATATATAATAATGCCAGGCACTGAGAATATAAAGAAAGGCAAAAAAAAAGAAAAAGAAAAGAAAAAAAAGGTCCCTGCCCTCAAGGAGTGCACATTGGAGTATTAACTGGTGAGTCGGCCTAGAGAGACAGAAGGTCTGTAGGGATGGGAGATTTTTTTTGTGTGGACAGTGTGGGGGAGAGGGCAGAGAGAAAGCATGAACAAAGAAATAAAATATAAAAAGGGGAAGTGATAGGTCTCTGAATACAAACCACCTATTTTCTGTTTTTGTCCAGCTTGAAGAAAAGTCCCTGGCTCTCTCTTTTCTTCTTGAAGAGCACTGGAATAGATGGCAGGGCCAGAGTCTCTCCCTTTTTAAAGGTCCGATGAGTCATCTGTTCTTTCAGCTCAGTGGCCAATAATGAGAAGCTTCTTAATCTCAAAGCAAAAGGCCTGAAACTCTGAGTCACACACGGCCAGAAAGAGCAGCCCTCATCATCCCCAAAGTACCAAACCTCCTCAGCACTGGGTCATGCACATGTAGGTGGCTAGAAGCAGGGAATGATGTTCTATGTATGCACTATTCAATCCCCTTGTTACACTATAATTTGATCTTTTACTCACTCATTATTTAGGATATTGTTTTGTAATTTCCTCAGTAGAGAATTAAGGCATGACCTGTAGTACAGAACCAAATGTCTTAGGTTTACACAGGCCAGGTTCCATTTGGGGGTAACTTCTCACTAATATATATCCTCCTTGAATAATGCCTCCAGTTAGCTTTTTCTTGGCTATATCAGAATTATGCATGTAGTTAAGTTTGTTCAGAAAAGATAAAGGACCTTCAGTTCCTTTGCAAGCACTCAGACCAACAACATATCAAATATAGGGCAGGTTTTATTTGACTGGACAGGAAACAGCAAAAACACAGAATACTCACACCCAAGCCCATAAACAGATGAACACTTGAAGAGTGCAAAACAATCCTCCTTCCCTCTCCAGTGGGCCTCCATTTTCTATAAGGACTACCACATTTGAAGAAACCCCAAATAGGTAAAGCACATGAAGTTGACTCCTTTTACTTGGTTAGTCCCACTTCCCTCAAGTAACTCCATAGCCCTTCAGACTTATGTTACATTGGGGTGCCCTCTTTAATTACTATTTCCAGGAAATTTTCTTTATCGTTTCCTGAAACATGGCATTCAGCTTCTTTCTGTCTATTGAGAGATGAGTAATTCTCAGCAAGCTTTGCCTGTTATTTCTGATATTTTTATTTGTTAGTATTACAGATAACCCAGTTCTGCTCTTTTTTGTTTATTTGTTTTTAAATTTGTTTTGTTATCTGTTCTGTACCCTGTGTATTCATGTTTTCTTTATGGGCCTTTCTATTCCAGAGAGAATTCATTGATTTATTAAGATTTTCCACTGATTCTTGGAGTTGTCAAGTATCATGTTTGTCTTTTTTCTGCTCACTGATTCTGTATCCATTTTACTAGATGCTAGGTTTCCTTTCATTTAGCTCATAGCACTTCTAATCCACTTTGAAGATTTTTACTGTAAATCCATTTTTGCATCTGGGTATCTTGTTGGCGTTGTTGTTTGGGCCTTTTTGTGCTACACATTTTTTAGTTGCTCTTTTCACTTTTCTATGAGATTTTTTCCTCTGCAAATTTCTTTTTTTCCTCTCTTTGGTTGTTTATTTTATTTTATTTGGCACATTTGGTGGTATTTTGAGGTGATGAAATACGAGCTAGTCTTAATTATTACTACTCACTCAGGCATCTTGTAATTGCCTCCTCCATGCTACTTTTTTTCTATCTACTTAGCAGTGAAAAGGCAGTGAGGTATAGCATGATAGCATGAAGGCATGGTCCTGTTGCCCAATGAGGCCTTTTTAAGGATTTAGGAAATCCAAGTAGCAACAAAGGAAGTGGTTAGAGACTGGGAATGATCAATAGGGCAAATTCCTGAAAGAAAAGGGGAATAGGATCCGAAGTGCATGTTAGAAGACCAGGAGAGGGGCCAACTCATCCTATGACCCTACAGCAAAGAAGGAGACAAGAGGTGGAAATGCACAGAGCTTTTGAGGTGTTGGAGAATAGAGTTCATAATCCACGGCCTTAATCTTTGCAAAAAGGGAGTTGAGGTCATCTGCTGAGAGAGGTGAGAGGTACAATAAAGGCCAATGGAGAAAAGGGGAAGTTTAATAGATGATTTGGGGAGAGTGGTAGGTATTCAAACAGAAAGGAACAAAAGAATGATTATAGCTGATCAATGACATAATTTCAAATTTCAAGTGCGTCTGCTGGCTGTACAGATGGTATTTATAATTCATTGTTCGCTAGCAAGAGTTTCCCTCTAGCCTTTGCCCCCTATTTAGGAGGGACATTAATGGTGTGCTTTTTCCAGATGAATATAGTTATTATTTTCTTTTTTAAAATCACCTAAGTCCATAATTTTTATAAAATATAGTTTAATTTTCCCTTTCCATTACTGATCACATATGTGTAAATACAAACACATAAATACAGGTGAATCAGAAAAGAGCTAAGAAATGTATAAAAGGAAAGTCTAAACCAGGCCAGTACCCTAGTTAGCATTCAGCATGATATGACCAGGGGTTCTGCAAGAGGATATCAATCCAAGCTTTCCTCTTTAAAATATTAAAAATGCAGTCATGTATCAAAAATATCTATTTACATGTGGCAATATGTATGGGGTATGAAAATAAGCTTAATTTTCTTTTTTCTGCTTCAAAAGTCCCTAATTTTTCTTTAGGCTAGGGGTAGTCCATCCTGCCAAACCAGTTTTAGAGACAAAAGTATGTCCACAGTGTATGTCAAACCCCAAAGTGTTCTGTGGCCAAATTAGTTTAGTAAACACTGGCCTAAAATAAAGATTGAGTAAGTCAGTTGCCCCTTACATTGTCTACATCTCTAATTGGCAAAGTGTCTAAAAGCTTATCCCAGGCAAAAGTTTCAACAGGCTTTCTTCCTGAGGCCAAAATTTTCTGGGACTCAACGTCCTCCAAGAAATTCCTGCCAAAGGTTATATCAATATGTGGCCAAGTTATTTTTTAATGCCTAGTACATACCTAGACTCTTCTCAGAAAATGTGTTCCATAAGATAGCTTATAGAATATCCATTACTTTAATGGTAGCACAGTGAAAGTTTAACTCAGAACTACCAGATAAAAATTTATGTTATGTAAAGGAGTCACAACTGCCTTTCTAGTATCCTATCTGGCTTGGTCCATTAAATTTCCAATGAAAAAAACAAAGCACTATACATAAAAAGTGGTCTCTAGTGTCGGCTTGTTATCTGCTTTCAAAATGACTTTTTTTGGGGGGGGGTGGGCAAGAAGTTGTTTCTAGGAGCTCTATCTGCTCTGCTCACCAATGCTAACTTAGCAGATAAACCTAATCTTCACTTCTGGATGATAATTGTCACCTGTGTTGAAAGTTTGTCTCTAGATCATGACAATGATTGCAACTGAAACACATGCTCTAAAAATTAGTTTTTAAGCATATTTACATATACACACCTGGTGAATAGCATGATCATCATCACCAAATTTGCATTTTTTTTTTTTGGTTTCCATTACTGTAAATACCACATAATTTATAGAATTCTTAAGACTATCCTTTAACTTCTTTTGTTTACCAAAGTATCTGTTTTAAGGTCACTTTTTTATATTTTTCTTTTTTTTCTCAATTACTTTTAAGCAAATCAAGTACACTACTAAAAGACGTGATATACCTTAAATATGATTTGTTCATCTACACTGTAAAAAAAAAGTCTGATAATTTTCAGATGGTTTAATCTTCTATAATTTTAGGTAGATTTTTACAAAAAATTGGTACATGAATAGTTATGCATTTATAGCCTGATTTTGTACCACATGAAGTCTACTCTATACTTAATAATGCTTCATAGAACTGTTATTCACAGGTAAATAATATGAACTATTCTTTTGACCCACCTGAATAACATAATCCCTTCATACAATACACTGGATTCTGACCCCAATGTTTGAGTCCTTTATGTTATGACAAAGCATCATGTGACCTTAAAGATCATCTTTTCTGATCCCATTGTTTTTACTGATGAAGAAACTGAGGCTCTGAGTGGCTTGCCTCAGGTCACACAGCCAAGTTAATTGTAGAGCCAGTCAGTACCAGAACTCAGATTTCCTGACTTTTTCTATTCTTTCTACTCCGAAATATAGCCTAATATAAAGTAGTATGTTGTTTCTCACCAAAATATAACATGTATGTCATTTGTGGTAGGAAAAAAATAATAAATTTAAAGTCATACAAATATCCTACTTTTTTCTAAAGAGGAACATACAGTTAACATATACCTTTCCAGAAAAATCCCCTTACCAACAATGATAAAACAGTATTATACTATGCATCATTCAAACAAATGCTTCTGGTTACAGAGCCAGAGGACCTATGAAAGGCCTGTCCTGTGCAAGACTGGAGGATATAGTACAGGATCAACTACTAAGAGGTGGAGAAGTGTAGACCTGAGTTCAAATCCATCCTTAGACACTTACTCGCTATGTGGCCCCAGACAAATCACTTAATCTCTCTTAGCCTTACTTTCCTCATCTGTAAAATGGGGATAAAAATAGCACCTCTTTCCCAGGGTTGTTGTGAGGATAAAATAAGATAATATTTGTAAAGTGCTTTGCAAATCTTAAAGCATTATATAAATGATAGTTATTATTATTAATAATTACTCCAGAAAGCAATTGATCTTTTCCCCAGTTGACTATATGAAAACCTATACTTTTGAAAGAGGAAAAGTTCTGCAGTAGGTAGGTAAAGCAGGGATCTGCCACACCTGAAAACCCTACTTCATGTTCTGGTACCATGAGCCAATCTTGACCCATTCAAATCCAACCATGCCCTAGCTGGGCTCATTAGTTTTCCCTCTATTTTTTTTGAGGGGGGCTCATTGGTTTTGAGGTAAGCATTGGAGCCCTGGATAAATACACCAAGTAGATGGGATCCTTTGGTTCACCTTCTGTTGACAATATAGCTCAGGTTGTCCCAGGTCAAACCCATACCTCTCAAGATCTTCTCTGCCTGAAAATGGGCTGGGCCTTTCCCAGATTTTCAAGATTCAGAACTGATTCATACCTAGTAACACATACCTGGATCCTGTAACAGCAAGATGTTTTCCTAAGTAATATGTGCTAACTTGTCCTCCCCCTCACAGCAATGATATCTTTTATATTTCAAGAGAACTTTTATTTAGTCTATATTGTTACTCATAAACTTACTGTACTCCATATCTCTCCTTATAAAAATTGAAATTTAGAGCCTACATAAGAACATAAATCCCATACTGGGTCTGGCCATTAATCTAGCCAGGTCAAGGCTCCATCTCTGCCAGTGGGAGGTTTTTGGGGAAGTTACTTTCCACAACATCCTCCTGAAAGGCTAGAGATGTTCTAGCCTAAACATCTGTACTTAATTATTTAATATTTAATAATTAAGTAATCCCAGGAATAACATTCCATTGTATGAACCTCTGATTACATCTGTGTAGGAATCTCCCTCTTCTAAACAATCAACATTGATGAATTACTTAATTACTTCCAGTAAAGAAACTCTCTTTGTTCAGGCCCATCAGCAACTGCTCTGAAAGTTAAAATCTTAGAGAGTTGCCTGGGACATGGCGAAATTAAGTGACTTGCTCAGGGTCACACAGCTAGTATGTTTCATAGGCGGGACTTGACTTCATGTCACTTTGTTCCCAAGGTCAACTCTATCCACTATGCCACGCTGTTTCTATGTCACACATTTTTGTCAAACTGGAGTTTCTTATTCATCTCCAACATCTAAAAATGGTACTTTTTTTTTTTAATTACTCTGAAGAGAAATAGTGACAACCTATCCCCATGAATATAAGGAAGACAGTGACCAGTCCCTGGGTTGGTTGGTGAGGCCTGCTCCTTTCTCAACATGGAAAGCCATAAGTAACTACTTTCTGTACAAATATTTGTCAAAGATGACTTGTTTAGCATATATCCTGAGGCGAGTTACTTAATCTTTCTGGCCCTCAGTTTCCTTATCTATATGAGGAGAAGGGATCACTAAGATGCCTTCTGGCTCTAAAACTCATGTATAATAATTCCATGCCCAAAGTTGGCAGTAGGAATATTGAACAAAGCAGAGTCTACTGATTTATATATAAAAGAGATCAATAGCCTGGCTTTAAGGCACCTTAAAAAGGCTCTTTGAAAAAAAAACAATTAAAAAAATCCCACCTGTGAATAAAACATTAAATTTCTCAATACTTTTTGTAAGCTTCGATTAAGAAGTATTTTACTCAGAAGCATAGGATTCCGAGCTAGAAGGGACCTTAGAGACAATCTAGCTTTAAGCCTGTCATTTTAAAGATGAAGAAAGTGAGACCTGGAGAGATGAAGTGATTTGCCTAAAGTCATACAGACAGTAATTGAAGAACTGGATTTAAAATTCAGATTCTCTGATTCTAAATCCTCTCCTCTCCTCCTCTGAACCTAGCTCAGAGTACCAGATTCAGCCTGTATCTCTTGATCCGGGTCCTATGCTGGCCTACACAGAGCGCATACAATATCCTGTGTGATTATGCTACAAGCAGCATTGTCCTTTAAATTTTGTGGTACTCACCTTGTCCTTATGGCCTATAAACCCTATTGTCAATTAAGAGCTACACACTCAAGTATTGAAAACATATCAAATAACACAAGCTTGCACTTATCAATATAAAAAGAAAAGAAAAATACATCATATAATTAATCTCATGAACTCAAATATCACACAAAGGGATAAACAAGTAATATCATACAAAGAACAATGAACATTTTTGGGGATGGAGGATAAGAACATTTTAGCATAAAATAGCCAAACCAAGAGTATAAGCAATCTCATTCTATAAAGGATTAATAATAAACTCTGAGGCTGTCCAGTGGTGGAAAAACTGCAGCTTTTCACCTATTCCTTCATCAGCAAGTTGCAATTCAGTACAAATCAGTAGATCAGTAACTTGAATGAAAAGTAAAAATAGGATTAATACAGTACTGAGGAATATACAGTTGTATATGAATCACTTTTATACACTATTCATTTGTAGAGAAAGACGAGAGCTAGAGTGTCCACTGGATGTCACTAAAGTCAGCTGGGTCCCCCAAACCTCCTTCTGCTTCTAAATAATTCATGAAGGCAGCCATGGCAGTGTCATCATTTTCACACATTGCATCAAAATCCACCTGTGTGTTGTCACCTAACAAATTTTAAAAGAGACACAGAGTAAATATAGAGGGTTAAATGGAAAAACATGCTAAGAGAACGATATACCTGATTCAAGAAGGGGAAGAGATTAGGTAAAAGGCATGGTGGAGGAGCACTGAATACCAAGAACATATACTCTTACCAAGGATTTTACAAAGGGGAAGGGAGAAGCATGGTAGAGAGCACTTGGATAATTGGATGAGGATTAATGGTGGGGAGAAATAGAAGCAGTGTCATGGTAGGAGAAAGTACAGACCACTGCAGGAAATGAATAAGGAGTTTCAGAAGCACATTTTAAGGCAGGTTTGAAGGAATGATATAGTAGTAAAAGGAAACTTCAGCTATCTAGACAGTTGCTGGAGGTCTCTTTTTATTTAAAGTGGAATAGCTGATAGATTCTTGACTTCTCTTTTTGAAAATGTAGAAAACTATAAGGCAACTACTGTTCTGGATCTGATTCTGAAGTAGAAATGAAAAGAACATTGAGGGGATGTGACTACTCTCATTGTTCATGATGGACAAAGAAAGGAAAGTGAGGTATAGACTGATGTGCATTCCAAATTTGGGGGAGAGTGGATTTCAAAAAGTTCATCGAAAGGATACTGCAGATTCCATTAACAAAGACTCCACTTTCCAAGGGAAATTGGCTCAAGAGGTAAGGTATGCTCATAAGAATGAAATTCTGATGACACAAACACAAATTATTCTAATGAGGAAAAGGGAAAGTTTTATTTATTTATTTGAAAAATGTTTCTTTTTTACATGATCATTTCCTTATACAAAGAAGAAAAGAAAAAGAGGGCTGTATATCACACTGTGACTGTATTAAGTTGGTTTTACAAACCTACTTAAGTTTTTGAAAGTGTATATTAGGGGCAGCTAGGTGGCACAGTGGGTAGAGCACCAGCCCTGAAGTCAGAAGTACCTGAGTTCAAATCCGGCCTCAGACCAAACACTTGACACTTACTAGCTGTGTGACCCTGGGCAAGTCACTTAACCCCAATTGCCTTAAAAAAAAAAAAGAAAGAAAGAAAGTGTATATTAAATTTAAATACTGTTAGGGCAGTTTCAACACTTCTGAATGACCTCTTGCTCTCTTTTGTGAATGTTTTAATATTTCACTGACACTGTTTTCTTTTTTGTTTTGGTTATCACTATTTCTCCACTCATTCCTCATAACCTCTCCCTCCAAATAAAAGCCTTCCCTGTAACAAATATAGTCAAGTAATACAAATCCAATCATGATTGTTGCTATTCCACTACTCACTCTCCATAACATTCTCCTTCCCCAAAATAAAAGCCTTCCCTTGTAACAAATAAATATATTCAAGTAATATAATCCAAAAATTGGCTGTGTTTGAAAATGTATGTCTCCTCTTGCATCTCTAGTCAATCATCTCCATGCTGAGAGGTGGGAAGCATACAGCATCATCATCATCATCATCATCATCATCATCATCATGGCTTCTCTAGAGCTATGATTGGTCATTTCTTTGAAAATAGTTGTTAAGTCTTTCACAGATATTTTCCTATAGAATATTGTACTCATTATATAAAATGTTCCCCTGGTTCTTTTCACTTTACTACGCATCAGTTCACACAAGCCCTCCCAGGTTTCTTTAAATCTCTCCTTTGCATAATTTCTTATGGTACAATAGTATTCCATTATATTCATATGCCAAAATTTATCCAGCCATTGCCCAATTAGTGGGTACCTACTTTATTTTTCCAGTTTTTTTGCTATAACATAAAGTGTTGCTAGAACCATTTTTGTACCTATGAATCCTTTCCCTCTTTCTTTGATCTCTTTAGAGTATATGCCTTGGAGTGGTATCCCTGGATCTAAGGGGTACACAGTTTAGTGACTTTTGGGGCATAGAGCTAAATTGCTTTCCAGAATAGTGGATCAATTCACATCTTTCTAAACAGTGTATCTATAAACATCTCTCTAAACAGTACGCTTATGGTTCTATTGCCCATTCCCTTTATTTCATCTTTGCCAAACTGATGAGTATGAGGTGGAACCTCAGAGATGTTTTAATTTGCATATCTCTTATTATTAGTGATTTAGAGCATTTTTTCATATGACTGTTGATAGCTAGCTCTTATTCTTTGAAAACTGTTCATATCCTTTGACCATTTATTTATTGGGGAATGGTTCTTATTTTTATATATTTGTATCAATTCCTTTTGGAAAAGATCCCTTGAAACTTTTTTTAGAGAAATTTGCTGTAAAATTTTTCCTAGTTAACAGTTTCCCTTATATTTTAATTACATTGCTTTTGTTTGTTAAAAAATTTTTTTGTTCTATATACTCAAAGTTATCTATTTTATCTCCTATGATGCTCTCTATGCTTTCCTTGGTCAATAACTTTTCAGAAGGGAGAGTTTTATAAAAAGAAGTAGCTATATAGAATAACACAGATTTTTAAAAGACATTTGTAAGAGAAGTTAGAACAGGTAACAGAAAGAATAACAAAAACAAGAATGGCAGAAAAGTTTAAGGCTAGAATGAGTTGAAACGAGCAATGAAAGCTTAAGACAGGAAAAGGAGAGCTTTTTTCTCTATTAAGGGCTAAAGAATAATTAAAAAAGAGAGAAAGAGAAAGATAGCAACCTACTTGATGTAGATGGGACAATGATAATAGATAAAGAAAGAAAGGAGAACTACTCAACTCTTTATTTTGCTTCTGTTATTTTTTTTTTCACCAAGGAGAGTGTACTCTTGACTAGAAAGTATTGGCTGACAAAGAATTTAAAGTGCAGATAAGTGGGGAGATAGTAAGAGAATATGTAGGGCAGCTAGGTGGTACAGTGGATAGAGCACCAGGCAGGCCTGGGGTCAGAAAAACCTGAGTTCAAATCCAGCCTCAGACACTTATTAGCTGTGTGACCCCAAGTCACTTAATCTCAGTTCTCCTCAGTTTCCTTATCTGTAAAATGGAGATAATAATAGCACTTTTCTCCCGGGGTTGTTGTGAAGATCAAATGAGATAATAATTTTAAAGCTCTTAGGTCAGTGCCTGGCACATTGTAAGTGCTATATAAATGTTTCATTATTATTATTATTATTATTATTATTACTTAGCTGGCCTCCATGAATTTAAGTCAATAGGCCAAGATGAACTGAATCCCAGGATACTGAGGAAGCTTGCAGGTATATTTGAGCCACTCTCAGTGACCCTTGAAAAATTATGGAGAGGAGTAGCTAGGTGATGCAGTGGATAGAGCACTGGCCCTGGAGTCAGGAGGACCGATCTCAGACACATGATACTTACTAGCTCTGTGACCCTGGGCAAGTCACTTAACCCCAATTGCCTTGCCAAAAAAAAAAAAAAAGAGAGAGAGAGAGAGGAAGAAAGAAAGAAAGAAAAATTATGCAGCACAGGAGAAGAGTCACAGGATAATGGACTAGAAAATATTATCCCAATATTTAAAAAAGAATGGGGGTAGATAATAGTAGATTCTTCATATGATGAGCCAATGTCTCCTCCCACTGTACTGAAGCCTCACTCTATAGGTGCCTTGATTGCCTCCAGCTCCTCAGGGCTTAGGCATGGCTAGTTTGTCTTTTCAGCAAATTGTTTTGTTCCCTTGTTGACTCAACCAGAAAAGTGTTTCACCAGATAAATGCATCGACACCTAGAACCACTATTTTTAGTTAAACACCTCACTGAAGCCTTATGATTACATTCTAGCCCTTTTGTGGCTACATCAACTGAGCTGGAAGAGAAGGGAAATTATTTTCCTCCACTTCAATTTTTGGCAAAATTCTAGAATGCATTATTAAAAGGATAACTCCTAAGCATCAAGAAAGGGAACCCCGGATCATGAAGCACCAGCATGGATTTATCAGATCATGCTAGACTAACCTAATTTCTTTTCTTTTTAATGAGGTTACCAGATTGGTAGATCAGGAAATTTGCTATCGACATAAAACCCTTAAATTTCAGCCAGTCATCAAATAGGTGAAGACCAGAGATAGCATGGCATATTGGGGAGAGAACTGGTCTCAGAGACTGAAAGACCAAGATTCAAGCAGGCGTCTTGCCATGTACCAGCACAGACTATAATACAGATCCTTCAATCACTAAACCATTTCACTTTCAGAGCCCCAGGCACTCTAAGTTTCAACCTTGAAACTCTAAGTTTCAAAGAAGGTGTCAACCTGCCTTCAGAGAGGAAGTTCCTCACCAGGAGCTCCCAACAGGATGTAATCATAGGTCCAGCCCATATCCATTTAAGCTCATCTGCTGCTAGCTTAAATATATACATACACATGTATATATTTCAACTTAGAGGTTGTAGACCTCCTTAAAATCCTTTGGAACTCTTTGAAAAACAAAATATGGCTTTTAAAAGTTTGTTTGGAGGGGCAGCTAGGTGGTGCAGTGGATGGAGCACCGGCTCTGAAGTCAGGAGGACCTGAGTTCAAATCCGACCTCAGACCAAACATCTGACACTTATTAGATGGGCAAGTCACATAACCCCAATTGCCTTAAAAAAAAAATTTGTTTGAGATGATTTAGATATAGCCCTATCTGAAACCAAGGAATAGCTTGGATGATTTCTCATGGTCCCTGATTCAATGGAGGTCTCAGATGTAATAATCAGAATGGAATTATAGCTCTTCAAGATCTAGTGAGATAATGTATATAAAGTGCTTTAAGGTTTTGCAAATCTTAAAGCACTGTAAAAAATGTCAGCTATCATCATTATCACTATAGTATTATCATTCTATCATTGTCTTGTTCTCATCTCTTTTTGATGGGTTTCTAAACGAAAGAAACACATTGTTCTCATTTTTTTTTTATATTTAATGTTATGCGACTATTGAATAGGTAGAAAAAGGATTGCTTTTTGCAAATGAATGATAGTATCAGTATATAAACTCAGCCCCTGTAGATTCACTAAAAGCATCTTCTGGGACTACTCCAGTACCAAAAAGGATGACAGAAATGACATGTACTCATCTTGTTCTCACATAATTTCTTCTATTGGGTTCCTATGTTTTGAAAGCTTTTCTTTCTATGTGGTTTAGAGATTATGAGTATTAAGTAAAATGTTCCTAAATTTTTATAGACCAATGTAATTTCTAATGGCAAAGACCAGATGCTGAATCATCATCATAAGGTCCTTCATTTCTATAAGCAAATATTATTTATTTAATATTTTAATAACCTATTATTGAATTATTATCATTATGAAGACATCTTTTATAATTAACCTATTTTATTCTATATAGAAGTTTTAAAAATAAAAATTACATGACATGCAGAATTTTTTTCCCCTGTATCCATACTGTACTAGTCTTAAAAATGGGTATGCAAAGTCAAATTGCCTTTCTCTGCATGCTTATTAGTAACTGGAAACATACTTGCTCATTAGTTTGCTTATTAGTTTAATGGCACACATTCACAGACTCACTGATTGAGTTCTTTCTGGCATGCCACCCTCCACTGTGTATCATCAATATTACACTCAACAATTTATTTATTTAGTTGACTCATTTAAAAGGTTAATCTCAGTTTTCAAGAAAAAGTTCTCCTTGGGAGAGGTCTGCTGGGCCTAAAGCTTTAGCCATGGATAAGGGGTCTTTGTGGAATTAAAATGATCAGCCGGAGCCAAAGACAACTTACTGAGCAGCGGTTCATTGCTGGAGAAAGAAATAATGCCACGGCTTTGCCCCGAAGGCTCATGGTTTCCTATTTCAGAAGAACATAACTGAATCAGCTCTTTGTTTGGCACCTAGAAAGACAAGAGGAAAAATGAATGATAAGTAAGCTTTGCAATTAAATGAAATCAAAACCTTGATGGAAGTATAATTGTGGGTGGATGGTTAGGGAAGCAAAAGGGAAGATTGGGGGTGGTTTGAGATTAATATAGAAAGGAACATGAATATTAAGTGTATCAAATGACAATTACTTCAGGATTAAGACAGGAAGTAATGAAAGAATAAAATGTATTATGTATTTCACTAAGGTGAAATACTGTCTTAAAGGAAGAAAAAGAATGATCAAAAACTTTTCATAATGCTTGGGCACAGAACACTTACATGTTTTCATCTGTCTTTATTCCCTTATCATCTCAAAAGGAGGGGACAGGGAACTGGAAATTATCTTCCTCTCCTCTAGAGATTGTATCAGTCGTTACTTGAGGCCCCACCCCTCTCCATCCCACCCTCTCCACTTTTCCAAAAGGCATTCATCTGTATTCTCTGATATCTTAGTACTTAGTACTTAGCACAGTGTTTGGCACATGGGCACATAGGTTTATTGGTTGATTAGTTGATATTGATTTACTAATGACAGAATGTGATTTGCTCCCTGAAATATTACCTTATTTTTTTTTCAGCCAAAGACAAAGTTTATTAGAACATCTGTTATATTGGGCAGACTCTTAACGAGTCTGAACACTAGTGAGCTATTGGCTAGATTATAAGAATCTGAGCACCTTAAGAGAGACAAGATGGACCTTATATACAGAAAGACTGTGGGAGGAATCTAGGAGTGGCCAAGTAGTTCGGGGTGACTGGAGGAGAGGTCTAAGGAGCATCTGGATGGGAATGGCCAGTAAACTGGGATAAACAGAATGCCTGGGACCTGGACCACGTGGCCAAGGGAGAAAGGAGTCTAGCTAGGATTAAGGGTGGGAAATGGCTGGACAGGATAGGGAGGTAAAACAATGGAGGGCACAATGAAAGGCCACTTGATGGGATTATAGCCTCAGGTGAACACCAGAGATTTAGTCATGTGGGAAAGTCCAGGATTTTTCCTTTTGGGGGTCTAGATACCATCCTCATCATTCTCTCCTCAAACAAATGGGACCCAAATTCTTTTGGGGTAAGACACAAAGTTCTTGGCTTCTGAAACTGCTTCCTGCTGGCAAGAGGCATAGAGCTGTCCCTGCCTTGAGGGGGTCCCAAAGAGGAGGTTGACTAAAACCGAGCACAGGCTGCATCCAGGGAATGATGGGGGGCCATTGGCTGGTACCCATTGTTTGCTATCAATTGTAGGTGAATGGCCTGTAGTCTGGAAGACACAAATCTAACAGAAAAGACTGCAGGGCCCAAATGACAGGATAGGACATCCTTAGTTCTGTTTGGATTCAGAGAATTCAGTTTTCCAGCCATGCTGTATCAAATCCACCTCATAGCCAGACTCAGGAATAACCAGGTGGGTAGCATTCCTTTTCAAAGGAACATAATGGGGAAACTGATCCAGGAGGATCCCATCTTAGACTAAGGTTAAAATTGTCCTCTCAGCTTTTCCCAATGCTGACTTTACACCAGTATCACATTCTCTCTGAGTAGCTTGTGGCATTTCTCAGATGGTGGATTATTGATTTATCAATGGATTATTATGATCCATCAGACACCTCAAAATAAAATTCCATGAGCTTTTACCTCCAACAGCAAGTTTCACTAATCACAGTTTAGGATTTACATCTCAAACTTAAATTTATCCTGGTGTAAAAAGTCAATCATTAGAGATTATTTCTATATACTTGCAAATTCTCAGCAAGACAAAACCCAAACAAGCTTTTTGGCAAGTTTACACATTAAAACAATAACCAACAATAGCCAAATTATTTTAGCAGTAACCAAATTATGAAAACTTGCTTGACATAACTGATACAAAAAGTTCACCAATTTGAAACTTGAAACAAACCCATTTCCAATCAGGTGACTTCAATTTTGTTAAATGCATTTCCAAATTACTTTACATCTCATCATTAACAGTTAAAACTACAACTTTAAAAGAGCATGCTTACCCAAGTTTAGAGGCCAGCTTCTTTACCTTGAGCAGAATGTGCTGAACCTGGGTGATACTTCCAGGCAAAGGTTGCCCTAGGGCCCAAAGCCATTGCCAGTGGGGCCCAAGGCCCCCCACTTTTCTCCTATGAAAGGGGTTAACAGAGATACCCTCTTGACTCAAGGGAAGGGAGTGGGAGAAGGGAGTGGCCAGGATTGTAAGGAGGTGTTTCAAAACTCCTTAATGATCTATCACAAAACCTCCAGAATCTGCTAAGATGTTTTTCGCTGTTCTAACTTTTCTCTGTGACCTCCATGAAGGAGGATCCAGGACTTTAGAGGGAAAGGAGTAAGTAAGCCTCAGGGAACTAAAAAGCACCTGCAGTTTTCTCAATTCTCTAAGCCAGAGAAAATTGACAGAATTGGGCATACACTTCCAGATAGGGCATCCATCCTTGTTCTCTATGCTGTGGAAGGTGTACTAAGATCCATGGCTTCGAATTGAACCAGTGAGAGCCTGAGAGCCTCAGACCTAGTGCGAGACAGCCTAGTAACTGTCTGCCTGAAAAGCACCTCCAAGCCTTCCTAGGTGCTTAGAGAGCGACCCCCCACTGCAGGGCAAGAAAGAAGGGGGGAAGGCTTACATACCTTTCAGTCTTGACTGGAGAAGAACTTGGGATTAGGCAGTTTCCCCATATGGGCCATCAAAATGTTGAGGTTTAGGGGTTAAGGGGTGCTGGGACCCCAAAATCATAACACGTGGGTCCTGCCCGAAAGAATTTGACCCAAGCCTACTTTCAGCCAAAGACAAGGTTTATTAGAACATCTGTCATATTGGGCAGACTCTTAAGATGACTGAACACTAGTGAGCTATTGGCTAGATTACAAGAATCTGAGCCTACTTTACTTCTTTCACCTACTCTCCTCCTGCCTTAAAAAAAAACAAACCAACAAAAACTATACCATTTACTTCTTAAATTCTTTAGCCCACTGATGCTTTAATTTCTCATTTTCTCTCAGATAATGTACAGTTTTTTTAAAAAGAAATACAACAAAAATATTCTTTTATCCACATTCATGACCTTACTTGTCCCCAGCAAATGAAAAAAAATCAATTTTTGATTTTTTTCATTACTATTTGAAAGTTTTTAACTTTCTGCTGTTGGGTCAGTTTGTATGTTACAGTTTGCTTACTTCTGGATTTTTTCTTTTAAGAAATGCTTTTAATTCTTCCTTTTTCCTGAAGTCCAATTTTTTTTCTGCTTAAGTTCATCTTTACACTTTTTTTTCTGTGCCAATTGACTTTTGCTCCTAGGAATATCATACTCCAATATAATTGGGTTTCTTATAAACTCAGAGTGCTATTCTGATTGTTTGGAGGCTTGAAAACTGAATATCTTGGAATGTTATTTTTTTTCTCACTGCCTTAAAAATTTGTTTTTTGATGTTGTGGTTCTAGAATTTGGTTAGAATGGTTCTTGGTGAATTAAACTTTGCATTTCTGCATTCTATGGATTTTCTCAATCTATACTTTGCCATATGCCTCCAATATTTCTGGGCAATGTTTCTGTATGACCCCTTGAAGTATGTTTTTCAGATTTTCGTTTTCCCAATTTTTTACCTGGAATACTTATAATTCTCAGAGTAATTGTTTGCATCCTATCATCAAGTTTAATGTCTTTGGGAGTTTGGGGGTTTTTTTTGTTTGTTTGTTTGGGTTTTTTTGAGCTCTCCTGTATTCTTTCAATCTTGGTGTTTAAAATTTTTTGTTCTATTATTTTTATTCTGCCTTTACATTTTTGCACTCCAAATCCTTTGTTCTCCTTTTTAAAAGAATCTGCACGGAAAACGGACTCTGTATTTTGTTCTAATCAACTCACTTCTGATTAAACATGGATTTTTTTTCCCTCAAGAATCCTAACTCCTTTTCTTATTTCTTTGATATTTTCACATAAACCTTTGATTGCTCTTCTGAACTATTCTGGAGTTTCTTAAGTATTCTCCAATGCCATTTCAGGGGCCTTGCAGAACTTGTAATATTTTTTACCTTTTCAGGAGATTCTGACACAAATTTCCTTTTTTATGAAGTGCTTATTTATTAAGATGACTCTTTCCTTCAAATGTTTGTTCATTTCTATTCCTTGGACAGCTTTTGTCTGTTTCTATCAATCATTCTGCAGGTTTTTCTATGGTATCCTTGCTGAAAGCATGCTTCTTACTACCCACTCTTTCTCCCTTTTGAAAGCTGGAAAGCTAAGCATTGTTACTTCCTTCTCTCAGCCTTTGCTGCCTCTGTTCTATTCTTTCAGACCCACTAGGGTTGAACAAATTCTGTGTCCCTCAAAGACTGAAAGTGAACAATTGCTTCAATGAGACTGAGAGGCTATTATAGTTGGGCTCATTCTCTACCTTTAGCAGTCCCACCCTTTGGGAACGTATCCTCCTCTCTGCAGTTAACCTTCATTCCTAAGTTAGTCCTTGGGAGCTAGTAACAAAGGCTTTGTGACCTTCAGAACACTGATGAATTAGGTGCTCAGGGAAGCCTTTACCCTTACTCTTCTCTGTTTCTTTCAATCTTTCTGTTGACTTCCTCTCTCTCAATTCTTTTGCAGACTACCTTTTTCCTAATTTTGCTGTCTGCTTATCTTGTCCTCTGCTTTATTAAATAATTTTAACCAATACTACATTTCTAATGTCTTCCCTCTTCCCCAATCATGTTCCTCAGACTCCATACTCTTCCACAAATGTCCTTTTTCCTTCTTAAATCATGGGATCTCAGTGGTTTTGTCTTTGGTTACCAAGAGAGACCAATGACCATCAATTTATTGATTATTTGCTAGCTGAATTAGTAAATTGATTATTTTACTCAGAAACTCTGTTTCTTGGGCTTTTCATTTATCTCATGTGAGAAAAGTGGGACATTAATGCCCTGTTGGTAGAGTTGTGAACTGATCCAACCATTCTGGAGAGCAATTTGGAACTATGCCCAAAGGATTATAAAGCTGTGCATACCCTTTGATTCAGCAATATCATTGCTAGATCTGAATTCCCAAGAGATAAGAAAAGGGGGAAGGGGAGAACCTATTTGTACAAATATATATAGCAGCTCTTTATGTGGTGACTAGGAATTGGAAATTGAGGGGATGCCCATCAAATGATGATTAGCTGAACAAGCTGTGGTATATAATTGTAACGGAATATTATTGTGCTGTAAGAAATTACAGGCAGGATGATTTCAGAGAAACCTGGAATGACTTCCATGATAATCTGATACAAAGTGAACAGAACCAGGAGAACATTGTACACAGTAACAGCAATATTATACAATGAAGAACTATGAATGACTAAAGTAATTCTTAGCAATAAAAAGATCCAAGACAATCCCAAAGGACTGATGATGAAGGATGTTATCTGCCTCCAAAGAAAACTAATATTGTCTGAATACAGACTGAAGCATGATGTTTTTCACTTTCTTTTTTCTTTTATTTTTTTCATTTCATTTTTCATTCATTTCCTTCATTTTCTTTAATTTTTTTTGTTTGAGTCTTCTCATGCAAAATGATAAATATGGAAATGTTTTACATGATTGCACATGTACAACCTAAATTGGATTGCTTACTGCCTCAGGGAGGAGGAAGGGAAGGAAAGATAGAATTTGGAAGTCAAAACTTTAAAAAAATGTTAAAAATTGTTTTAACATGTAATTGAGGAAAAAATAAAATATTATTTTAAAAAAAGGGCAAGAATCACATAGGATGAGAAGGCACTGATGACTTGTGCCCTACACTGGAGGAGAGGAGCACAACCGTTGGACAGCTCACATATCCACTGAAAAAATCAACATATAAATACTTACATTACTGCAGTTAACTGCTGGAGAGTCTCTGATGTTTGTTGGACTCGAATCAGCAAGAGACGGAGAAGAATGTAACCTTTAAAAAGGAATATATAAAGGCATTGGTTCTCAGATGACTTTTAAGTGACCTGAAGTCCCAAATACCTAAGAGACCCTTACTTATCTTGAAGGCTCAACTAGGACTATTTGATTTTTTTTTTTTTGGCGGGGTGTGGAGGGGAAAGGGAGAACACCTAGGCTTCTCATCCTAGGGGTCGGAAGTCAGGACAGCTCAGGAGAGACCCTTCAAGATTGTAATTCACAGGTAAGTTTTTAGGGGTCATATGTGCATTCACTCCTCTGAGAAGCTTGCTTCCTTTTATTTATTTACCCTACAGTTTCACTTTTATTGATCTTTCTTTTCTTTTCAATTGGTTTGGGTTGACAGGCCTTCATGAGAACCAAGGTAGGCACTTCACTTGTTGAAGTTGTATGATATGTATTTAGGGGTATGTGTAAGCTCCAGGTCCATTTCACATGGGAAGCCTGGACTTCAAAAGAAATTAATATAAGAGAGTGTCTTAGAACTATACCTAATGATCCCACTAGATATCAGTGCCTCCTTCCCAAAATTTCCTTGTATTTACTTATAAGCATCCATATTGTTCTCCTTTCTTCCATCCCCAAAAGGTAAACTCTTTAAAGGCAGGAACTGTTTCATTTTGTGCCTTTATATTGCCAGTGTCTAACAGAGTTCTTGGGCAGCTAAGTTGCTCAGTGGGTAGAGCACTGGACTTGGAATCATGAAGAGACTCATCTTCCTGAGTTCAAATCAGGCCTCAGTCGTTATTAGCTGTATGACCCTGGGCAAGTCATCACTTAACCCTGCTTGCCTCCCATTTCCTCAACTGTAAAATGAGCTGGAGAAGGAAATGGCAAACCTCTCCAGTATCCTTGCCAAGAAAGCCCCAAATGAGGTCACAAAGAGTAAGACATGACTGAAAAAATGACTGAACAACAACTAGCTTTTTAACTGCCTCACAAGTGACCCCAAATTTGAGAGTTATCAAGTTCAAGAGTTTGAGTAATGGCCCTTTCACAGAAAGAAAGAAAGAAGACAATCTTCCAAGTGGTTCTTAGGGTTGAAGGACTAAAGACATGTCATGGAAAAAGAGTGGGGGGGGGACAAAGAGGGTTAGAGATCTTGACCTTGCCTTCTTCCACCATCACAGTGAGAGCTGATGGAAAATTGTTTGTTCATGAGAGAGATTCACTGGAATGTCAACGGGTTGCCTTTTTATGAGCTTATGAGCTACCTGAGTTAACTTATGTGCTTTGGCACCTGTTGGTGGGTTGTAGTGAGTCCTTTTTGTCTTCAACATTTACTGTAGGATGAAATAAAGGCTGTCCTCCTCATGCATTGCTCTCTTGAGTACCCTTATAAGAGTTAAGGACCATGATAGTGATCATTTGGGGAAATCTAGATATGGGCTACACCATAAACTTATCAGCAATGCTAGGTGGTGCAGTAGATAGAGCCCTACGCCTGGAGTCAGAAGGACCCGAGGGCAAATCCAGCCTCCGACACTTACTTTGCTGTGTGACCTTGGGCAAGTCAGTTAACCCTGTTTGCCTCAGTTTCTTCATATGAAGAAGGAAATGTCAAACAACTCCAGTATCTTTGTCAAGAAAACCCCAAATGGTATCATGAAAAGTCAGACACAACGGGACAACAATGAATTTATTACAGAGTTTTTCCTCGAGTAATTCTAGGTAGGGGCAAGAAGCCAAAAAGAGATGATTCTTTCAGAAGTCAGCTCCTAGGATAGAACCTGAACTTGTTAGCCATGTTAGTCCAAGCCTTGGAGAGACCTGGGCCATAGGTTACATACATTTATAGAAGAAATCACAAAATACATACTCTAGGCAATTTATTCTTAAACTGATAGACCATAGTAAAGAAAGGGTCATTGCGATTACAGTTTTTAAGACCAGACAGAAAAAAACAACAACAAATATTTATTCAGTGCTTATCAAAGTAAGCACTAGAGATACAAAGTAAAAACAAAAATAATTCTTGTTCTCAAGGAGTTCACATTTCAATAGAGGCAACAACACATACATAAATAAAGACACAAAGTAGATAGAAGATCACCTTCAAGGAGAAACCATTAGCCAGACATTTTCAACTATAGAGATCGGGGGGGAAAAATCTCTTGAAAAAAAAAAAAACCTCTTTTTTAACTAGAAAAGTTAGGGAGTTTAGAGTCACAATATTACAGAATTTCAGAGTGGAAAGGGACCTCAGAGGCTATATACTTTCAATGATAGCAAAACAAAAATCCCCTTTCCAAGGTACCCGGCAAGTTCAGCCTTTGCTTGAAAACATTCAATAAGGAGCAACTCAACTCTTCCCAAAGTAGCCTCTTCCACTTTTTGGATAGTGGTACTTGTAGACATGCTCTCATTTTGCCAGGAATTGAGGTAAAACTCACTGGACTATGATTTTCTTTCTTATGTTTTTTAATTTGGTATTTTATTTTTTCCCCAGTTACATGTAAAAAACAATTTTTAACATTCATTTTTAAAACTTTTGAGTTCCAAATTCTCTCCCTTCCTCCCTCCCCACCCCACCCCCATTGAGAAAGCAAGCAATTCAATATAGGTTATAAATGTGCAGTCATGCAAAACACTTCCATAATAGTCATGTTGTGAAAGACTAACTGTATTTCCCTCCATCCTATCCCACCCCCCATTTCTTCTATTCTCTCCTTTCACTTTGTCCCTCCTCAAAAGTGTTTGCTTCTGATTGCCCCCTCCCCAATCTGCCTTCCCTTCTGTCACCTCCCCCTTTCTCTTACCCCCTTCCCCCTATTTTCCTGTAGGGTAAGATAGATTTCCATACCCAGTTGAGTATATATGTTATTCCCTCTTTAAGGCAGTTCTGATGAGAGTAAGGTTCACTCATTCCCTCTCACCTCCCACCCTTCCCCTCCACTGAGGGGGGAAGCTTCTTCTTGCCTCTTTTATGTGAGATAATTTACTCCATTCTACCTGTACTTTCTCCTTCTCCCAGTACATTCCTCTCTCACCCCTTAATTTTATTTTTTAGATATCATCCCTTCATATTCAACTCACACCTGTGCCCTGCATCTATATTTACTCCTTCTAGCTACCCTAATAATGAGAAAGGTCTCATGAGTTACAAATATCATCTTTCCACATAGGAATGTAAACAGTTTAACTTCAATTAGACTCTTATGATTTCTCTTTCCTGTTTACCTTTTCATGCTTCTCTTGAGTCTTGCATTTCAAAGTCAAATTTTCTATTTTAGCTCTGGTCTTTTCTCAAGAATGCATTAAATTCCTCTATTTCATTGAATGTCATTTTTTCCCCCTCATGAATTAAACTCAGCTTTGCTGAGTAGGTAATTCTTGGTTGTAATTCTAGCTCCTTTGACCTTTGAGATATTGTATTCCAAGCCCTCTGATCCTTTAATGGAGAAGCTGCGAAATCTTGTGCTATTCTGTTTGTGGTTCTACAATATTTGAATTGTTTCTTTCTGGCTGCTTGCAATATTTTTTTCCTTGTGGACTATGATTTTCCATCCCCATTCTCTGCACTTTATAGAAAATTTGGAAATTCTGTCCTCCTATCTAATCCTGAAGTACCACTCTTATTTTCCACACTCTTTCAAAGACCAACGGCAGTGGCTCAGCACTCATATCTTTCAGGCTCCGGCTTTACTGAGGCCCAGTGACTTGAATGATCTTTTTCTTTTTTACTACCTTCTCATCTATCAATAAATAACTCCACAAGGTTTTATTAAGCACCTACTTTGGGTGAGGATTATGCTGGGCCCTGGGAATACAAAAAAAAAAGAAAATTTTTTAAAAAGTCTCTGCCTTCAAAGAACTTACATTCCATCAAGAGAAACAACACACATGCATATAAGTAAGTACAAAATGCATGCAAAGTCAATGCAAAGTAATTTTGAAGAGGGGGTGCTAAAAGCTGGGGGGAATTAAGAAAATCCTCATGTAGAAGATAGCATGTAAGCTAAACTGTGTAGTTAGTTAGGGATTTTATGAGGCAGAGGTGAAGCGAGAGAATGCTCTTTAGGCATGGGGACAGTCTGTGAAAAGGCAGAGAATAGAGGTAAATTTTCATTTAAAAGGCACAGCAAATAGGCCTGTTTAGCTGGAAAAGAGTGACTGAAGAGGAATAATGTTCTATTCACCTAAGAAGGTAATCTGGGGCAAATTATGAAGGGGTTTAAATGCCAGCAGAAAGGTTTGGATTTAATCCTAGAGATAATAGGGGTTTAAATATTGGAGCTTTTTGAGAAGGGAAGTGAGATGATCAGACCTATGCTTTAAACATATTACTTTGGCAGTGTGGTAGAGAAATAATTGGGAGAAGAGAGCCATTAAGTCAGAAGACTGGTCAGGAAGCTACTAGAAGAGTACGTTATTGTTGTTTAGTCATTTTCAGTCCTGTCCTACTGTTTATGATCCCCCTTTCGGTGGTGGGGGTAGGGATTCTGGGCAAAGATACTGGAATGGTTTGTCATTTCCTTCTCTAACTCATGTTGCAAATGAGGAAACTGAAGCAAACAAGGTTCAGTGAATTGCCCAGGGTCACATAGCGAGTAAGTGTCTGAGGCTGGATTTGAACTTAGGTCTTCCTGACTCCAGGCCACCCCCAGCACTGTATCCACTCCACCACCCAGTGGAATAGTCTAAGAAAGGAGATAAGGGCCTGAACTAAGGTCATGGCTGTGTGAGTGAAGAGCTGGAGACATATTGTGAGATGTTTTGGAAACAGAATTGATAAGGGTAGGCAGATGAATAGATGTGGGAGATAAGAGATAGTAAAGAGCTGAGGATAACCCCAAGGCTGTGAACCTGTATAACTGCAATGGTGGTAACTGTCTCCTTGCCTCAAGTCTCTCCCTAGTGTAGTCCATCTTCCACTCAGCTATCAAATTCATTTTCCTAAAGCACAGATCTGACCATGTCATGTCACCCACCTAAAACCTTCCTGAATAAACTCCAGCAGCTCCCTATTACTTCCAGGATCAAATATCAAAACTTCCTTTTGGCATTCAAAACTCTTCACAATGTAGTTCCTCCCCCCCAATCTTTCCTGTCTTCTTAGACCTCACTCTCCTTTTCTCCTCCTTTTTCTTTGATCCAGAGGTACTGGTGGTTTTGCTGTTCCTCAAACAAGACACTCCATCTCCAGACTGGGCATTTTTCACCGATGATCCTTGTGGCATGGAATGTTCCTCCTCATTTCCATCTCCTGGCTTTCTCCAAGTCCCCGCTAAAATCCCACGTTCTGTGAGCTGTCTTTTCTCATCCCCTTTACTGCTAGTGCCTTCCCTCTGTTCATTATTTCCAATTTATCTGTTATATATCTTGTGCGTGCATAGTTTCGGTTTATTTTTTTTTTCATGTTATCTCCCTCATTAGACTGTGAGCTCCTTAAAGGCAATGACTGTCTTTTTTACTTTCTTTGTATCCCCACCTAGGTCTTAATACAGTGCCTGGCACATGGTAACTCCTTAATAAATATTTATTGGCTGACTTGCCAATGTCCTGGACAAAAAGAGGAAATAAGAGTATGGGGAGAAAGAAAATAAGTTCAGTTTTGTGCATATCGATTTTGAGATGCTTAAGAAATATCCAATTCGTAATGTTCAGGAGTCAATTACTAATAAGGAACTGGATTTTAGAAGAGAAAATAGTGTTGTTTATATAGATCTATAAGTTTTATACATAATTAATGTTAATTGAACCCTTGGAATTTGATGAGATCACTTCTAAAGAGAATATAGAGAGAAAAGAGAAGAGGGCCTAAGGCAGAACCTTGAGGTATGCCTTCAGTTAGAAGGTAGGATGTAAATGATGATCCAGCATAAGAGACCAAGGAGTGACCAGACAGGTAAAGAAAGAAAAGTCATGAAAATCCAAAGAGGAAAGAGTACCTTGGGGGAGAGAATGGTTGACAACGTCCAATGTAGCAGAGGGATTAAGAAAGAAGGACACAACCTGAGAAAAGGCCATTGGAGGTGGTAATTAAGATATCATTTGGTAACTGTGGAGAGAACAATTTCTGTTGAGTGATTAGTTTGGAAGCCAGATTACAAGGGATTGGGAAATAAGGGAAAGAAAATAAAATAAAAATAATTAGGGTACAAAGAGTTTTTTCTAGGGGTTTGACTATGAAAGGGAGAAGAGATAGCATGACAGCTCAAGGGTATGGCAGGGTCAAATAAAAGGTCTTTTTGAGGGTGGGGAAGACTGGGACACGTCTGTAGGTCACAAGGAAAGAGCCAGTAGATGGTGAAAACATACAAATTACATTTTAGTCATTTTTGTTCTATCCTTTTGAATCCAAAGATTGTTCTCTTTGGCAGAGGAAACTGAAGTGAAATGAGACGCCAGCAGTTTCTGCTTTTTTCCCTGCTGTCTCTTAGCTTTGTTTCATCCACCCTGAATAGGTATCTTTAAACAGCTTCTTGTCATAAATATGTCAAAACCAAACAAGTCCTGATGCCCTTTCCGTTATCTTTTGCTTTCTTCATCAGTCTCAGATCTTTTTGAGACTTGCCACTCCCGCCATTCTTCTTACAGGACTGCACCATTTGTAATCTTTCCTCATTGTCGGTCCTTGCTTCCATCTTCTGAACAGGCCTTTTAGAAAATCCAAGTAATTGTGACATCCCTGTGCATCCATACCGGTCTCTTTTGACAACTTCTTTTCTTCTTCATTCGAACTGTTTCTCTTTGTGTCTTCAGAATTTGGTTTTGGGGAGAGTCCCATCCCTCCTGAACCGACCTCCCCTGTAGAACTTTAGGCTATGGAAACTTACCAATCCTTTCTCTAAACCTTTTGAAATCTGTCTTCCCAAATCTAGGATGAATGTCAAGATATGTCTGCTATTTCCTCTCAATTTTTATCAAAAATTCTACCAAAAACCAAACAGCTGATAAATTCTTAACTGGATATAATGACAATTTCATCCTTCCATGAGTAGAGGAGTCAACAAAGAAGGTTTGTTCTTGATCTGATTCTCACCAACAAGGATGTTCTGGTTGCTAGGTTGAGGATCATGAAAACCTGTGGAAAAGTGACCACTTCATCCTTTTCTCCATCTTCCAACCTCCTCACCTCAGGATTCCCTACCCTGCCTCTTTATATCCTTTTTTTTTCTTTTTAAACTAAAGGCCTTACATTGGTTTTATTTATTTATAAGGAAAACATTCTCCTCAATAACCTAGAGAATGAAGGGCATTCTTTAGTCCCCTTTCATTTTGCTTTTCTTCTAGGAGGGAGGCCAGCCTGCATTTTGGATATGGACAACAGTCCAACACTTAGTTGTGGCAAAAATACAAATATCACAGACGGTAGCAACTTAATTCATTTTATCCATCTTACTATAGTACATAGTAGGAGGATATTTATTGTCATAAGGATCATAAGAATAGGCAGGAAAAAAAGCAACCATTACATAAGAAGCTATCTATTTTAATCCATTAACAGCTAGCTACTTCTAGCATCAATGACTTGTAAGGCTACTGCCTCAGTACAATAGAATTTTCAGCAAAGGATTCATATGTGTCCTCCCCCCACCCCTCCAAAGGAAGTTACCAATATGCCAAATTTTCACTGTAATATTTGATTCCCTGGTTCAGGCCCCACTTCTTCAAAATGACAAAGAGAACATGGAAACTTAAACATTACTCTATGCCTTGAAGCACTTGAGAAACAATAACTAATTCTTATCACATATACAAGAAAAAGCTGAGGAATTACTCTAGAGGGAGAAATAAAAGAAAAAGAACTAATGATAACACAAATAGTAAAGAAAAGTGTTCAGTTCATAGCTTGCTTTCCGGCTTTCTTGTTCACACCGAGTTCACACTGAGTGGTGTAATGGTTGGATGTTCTCCCCTACTGATTTATATCTTGAATTCCTTACAAATACACATTAGCTTCAGTTTTAAGATCAATACTGCTACTACTTCAAACCATCCTGCACATGGGTATCAGATTATTTTTCCTAAAACATGGCTTTTACCGTGTTCTTTCAAAGAGAAATCTACAGGGGTGCAAAGCAACAAAGCATAGTAGAAAGAGTCTTGGTTTTGGAATCAGAAGACCTGGTCTTGGATCATATTATCTCTTGGGGCCTCAGTTTCCTCACCTGTAAAATAAAGGATATGGACTAACTGATCTCTAAGGTTCCTTCCAGCTTTAACAGTTTATGAGTCTATTAGTTGCCTACAGTCTGTACGATAAAGTTCAACTCTATTAGCCTGGAATTCAAGGCCCACTATTTTTGAATTTACCTATTTATCCAGACCCATCTCCTCCACTTTGTTCATTTTACTGCAGTTAGCTGAGCTAACTCACAGTTCCCGAGTCTCATGCCCAGACATTCCCTTCCCTAAAGGCCCTGCCCCACTTCCTTTCTAACTATACAAAGCCTGTCTGTCCTGCAAGATCCAGTTCAGCTTCACCTTCCTTCATGAAACCTTCTCTGGCTATGTTGATTTCTCCCCCTTCTTGACCTCCTGGAGAAAATTTCTGAGCCAGAGGAAACTCTAGAGATGACCAAATCCAAACCCTGCCATTTGCAGATGAGAAAACACAGAGTTAGAGAAATGAATGTCTTGCCCAAAGTCACACAGATTGTTAATGTCACAGCCAGGACTACACCTCAGGTCTCCTAGCTCTCATTTCTCTTACACCATGAGGTATAGCCCTCGTAGCAAGATGCTCAATGAGGACCGAGCCAAGTACAGTGAGAAAAGCAAGGGAACCAAGCCCCTGACACTCTCCGCAAAAGTCAACAAATAGAAAGGCTGATGAGAGGGAAAAGGGCCCCCTAGAAAACTACACAAGGAAATAATAAAATAAACAACATTTAAAATGAGCAGAGTGCTGAAATATACTATACACGATTAAATGCCCCCAAGTCTAATTAATGTTACAAAAGAGTCCTACATCCCCAGTGAGATTGTAAGAAAGGACTGTTTTGTTGAAGAACATGGGATCACAGATGCAGAGCTGCAAGAAACATCAGAAGACATCTGGTCTACCTCCCTCATTCTACAGATATAAGGCCTAGAGAGGCAACTTGCTGAGAGCCACACAAGTAGTGTTATATTAGTTCTGCATTTCTCTAAGTAGCCAACATAATTCTAAGCCCCCAATTGGCAATTAATAAATATTTATTAAAGTAAATTGAAGATAGAAGATAAAAATAGCATCAATACTTATATAGTACTTTAAGATTTGCAAAGCTTTTAATGTACATTTTCCCATTCAATCCTTAAAACAACTCTGTGATATGTGATACAGTAATTGTTATTCTCATTTCACAGATGCAGAGACTAAGGATGACAGGGGCAAAGTGACTTGCCCAGGACCCACACAAGTCAAAAGTGACCTAGGTAGGATGGGAATCCAGTTGTTCCTAATTCTGCACCTCATATTCTATCTACTTCGCCAAGTTGCTTCCAGATCAAAGCCACATGACAAGATAGCACCAGACTCATGGTCTCTTCTCTACTACACCCAACCCATATACTTGACTTTTGTATCCATATAGAATTACCTCTGTAAGTCGAGAACTTCATTTTCAATCTCTCTTCCTATACTACCTGCACCAAGGACTGTTCCTGTAGATATTCCAGGCACACTAATGAAAGGCTGTCTGGAAGCATCTAAAGCCACAGAAAACACAAATAAAAATATGGTGAAATGGTGAAAAGATTCCAATTATAAGCACGTCATCTTTGTTAGTTTTAGTTTAGGTTTTTTCCTATTCAGATGGAATCTTTAAAACTGTAATCCATCTGCCCTAAAATGTGTTTTACCATTGGGGTTTTTTTCTTTTTTTCTTTTTGGCTAGGCAATGGGGTTAAGTAACTTGCCCAGGGTCACACAGCTAGTATTACATGTCTAAGGCTTGATTTGAACTCCGGTCCTCCTGAACCCAGGGCCAGTACTCTACCCACTGCACCATCTAGCTGTCCCTATCATTGGGTTTTAACCCCAGTTATGATATCATACTTCAGTATTTCAAAAGAACAAGCAGGAATTGATTATCTAAGGGTTAAACAATAGTAACATTACTTGTTATCCTTTTCTGCCTGACTGCTGGCACCAGTGAATGTAGAGTTTGATGTGATTATTTCAATACTTTAAAGATCTAATGAGAATAAAGTACTAATTTGACCTAATTCATGAATGAGTTAATTATATATGGTGTATGATCATCATAATCATAGCTAGCATTTATATAGCACTTACTATATATGCCAGGTAATGTGTTAAGTCCTTTACAATTATAACCTCAATTGATTCCCACAACAACTCAGGATATAGAGGCTATAATTAATCCCATTTTTACAGATGAGGAAACTGAGGCAAACAGAGTTTTTTGTTTTGTTTTGTTTTGTTTTGTTTAGGTGACTTGCCCCAGGATCACATAACTAGTAAGTGTCAGAGGCTAGATTTGAACTCAGGTCTTTCTGACTCTAGGCTCAGCACTCTTATCTACTGTGCCACCAAAGGCAAAGTGTCATATCCAGACAGCCAGCATAAGATAGTCAAGGATTAACAGCCAGACTGCTTGTAATCATCAAGGAGTAAGGTAGGAGTGTGCTGGACTCAGCATGAATGGGCTCAGTAGAGGCAATTATTAAACTTTCAGTGTTAGCGTTCATGTTGGCAAACATTACAAATTAGAACTTGGTTCATTGTTTTGTTTATTGTTAAGACTTAAGAAAGTGATGGCAAAAATCATAACAATGCAGGTTAAACTTAAAAGTGTGTCACGTGTGCTTATTTCCCCAATGGAGATCTGGTTAAACATTTGTCAGCACACCCCTGATAAGGGGTGCTGGGATTTAGAGGCAAGGAGTAGAGATAGCAAATTAGGTCAGAGGTTCTGGGATGCTAGAGTTAATAGAAAGGAACAGAAGTTGAGACAAGAACAAAACACCAATCAGAAAAGGAAACAGGCTACCAAAAGCGAGCACATCAGTGCCTGATTATTTGCTGTGCTCAGCGTTTTCCAGAAAAGCTTTGCAGGTGTGACAGGACTGGTTGCATCAATTTCTCTTCCTTAAAGGGGGTAATGTGCTTGGACACAGGACTGTCATAAGATCGTAAATTTAAAGCTGGAAGGTAACCTCAGAGATTATCCAACCCACTCCCTTCATTTTATGAGTGAGGGAGTAGGGGAACAGAGAAATGAGCTGATTTACCCAAGGTCCTTCAAGGTCATAGCTGTCAGACCAGGAAGTCTAACCCAGGGACCTTCACAGAGAGCTCAAGAGATTTCACAAGTGGGACAGCTAGGTGGCATAGTGGATAGAGTTCCAGCCTTGGAATCAGGAGGACCTGAGTTTAAATCGGGCCTCAGACACTTGACACTTACTAGCTATGTGACCCTGGGCAAATCACTTAACCCCAGTTGCCTCACCAAAAAAACAAAAAAACAAGCAAACAAGCAAAAAAAAGAGATTGGACAAGCAACACTGTGTCCTAACACAACTTCTAGCTGATGTCTGGTTGCTTTGGCAAGACATTTACTTCAGTACCAGAAGGCACGTAGGTTGTCCATATTCCCATTGGACACTCCAATCAACCACATAGCCATCCCATTCTAAGATGCTATAATCTTGATTCACAGGAAGTCAAAACGCCAAGAATCTTATTTTCTCTTTGAGTTTCCCTGCCTGGGTCCCTATCTCTTCATAAATGCAGAATTGCCTTTCCTTGGGCTACCTTTTAGTGATCCCCCAAAGCCAAGGACCAAAATCTTAGGGACATGACAACATGTCCCCTATATCTCCTAACAAACCAACCTGTGGTTACACCTAGTCCCAAGAGGATCCTGATATATACACAGAGTGGTTAAGATTAATGAAGCATCCCAATGTGAATATTTCAGAAAAATACTACCACTGCCTTCCTCTTACCAGATTACCTCATATTTACATATTCCTATAGGAACATAATTGTCTCTTGATAGACTATAAACTTATTGAGGGTCAGGGACTTCTACATTTTGTATTTGTATCCCCACCCCCTACTAACATAGTGCCCTTAATTTTTTTTCTTCAAACCAGACTGACAAAAGGAAATCCTGGTAAAGAACTTCCTCTGTTAATGCAGATGGGCACCTTTTCTGCCCATTTACAGTCTTGGAGAGTTGCCTGGGTCACTGAGAAATTTAAGTAACTCACCCAAGATCACATAGCTAGTATTATCTCAGGGACAGGATGTAAACTGGGGTTTTCCTGATGCTGACGCTTCCTCTTTAACCATTATACCATACTGCCTCTCTACCTGGCACATAGGAAGCTCTTACTAAATGCCTGCTAGTTGATAGAAAGTAAACTCCTTGGGGGTCTGGACCTAGCATGGTGCCTGACATATTAAGAGCTTAATAAATGTTTGTTGATGGATTGATTGATACAGAAATCGTTTATATTGTGGAAGCATCATTCTCCTTTTCCTATGACTCCTTGTGTAACATTAGTATTTAGAAATCTTGCCTCCAAGCAGAATATTTGCTTCTTTCTCTTCCTTTAATATGGAGTTTGGGCCGCCATTGTTCAATATATAATATCCCAAACTCTCAGTCCATATCTTTCTTCAACACAGAAAAAAAGATCTAAAACTAAGCTTGAAGGCAGATTGACACAGTGGAGCAGGTCCAGTGGATTCAGAGATAAGAAGATCTGGGTTCAAGTCCTGCTTCTGAGATACCCTAGCTGTGTAATCCGGGACTTCCCTAACAATTCAGTGCCCTGGGCAACAATCTAAAATTATCCACTAGGGACAACTAGGTGGCACAGTGGAATGAGGAGGACCTGAGTTCAAATCTGATCGCAGACCAGATATTTGACACTTACTAGGTGTGTGACCCTGGGCAAGTCACTTAACCCTGACTGCCTAAAAAAAGAAGGAGAAGAAGAAGAAGAAGAAGAAGAAGAAGAAGAAGAAGAAGAAG